TACAATTCAGGCAATCAAAAAACAAAGTCAAACAAACAAACAACACAAAGAGACATACAGCAATCGACTTAATTCCAATTCCAATTAAGTACAATTGTACAAAGTAATCGTTAATATTAAGCAACACGCGCTTCGCAACAACATTGAATTACCCAAGGCAACGTGGAAGCATAAGAAGTTGTTGCTACACACGAGGGGCCCGTTAGGTTGCCGATTTAAACCTAGAATTCGTTGATATGTTTTAAATTGACAAAGAAGGATTACAAATAAACGGTAATCGAGAAAAAGCGCTTCGGACGCACAAAATTTACAAAGCATTATTTTCATGAAATACATCTTTGGTCGTCTAAATCTTGATTACCCGTCTGTTGAACCGAAGGCTTGCAGAACATAAAATTAACTGATATGTACATGTAGACTCTTGATGTATCCCCTGTCGACTTACTGACCTGTTTGCCATTGAAAATAGGGATTTCTCAAAGCATCGGCGTATAAATATAAACCGAATTTTTGCCGGAATTACTTTAAGATTTACTGAACTTGCGCACACGTTTCAGTTATTTATCAGAACTCTCATAATGATTTATAAGCGTGTCAAAAATTAAAACAAATAAAACACTTAATTCTATGACAACAAAAAGCAAATGATCCAACAATTAAATATTCCTAAACCCTCATTATTATTTTGTATAACGACATTAAGCTACTGTAACAGTAGGAACCCTTGAAATCAGTAGCTCTAAGTTTTAAAACTTTATATAACCGACTATACGGTGTTGCGTTTTCTATTTTGTTGAAGGCTTGCAATTGCTTACATCAACTTCATTTGAACTCTGGTAGATAGTTGTTTCATTGTCAATCATATCACATTTCCTTCTGTTTAGCTCACCTGGCCGATAGGGCCAAGTGAGCTTTTCTCATCACTTGGCGTCCGTCTTCCGTCGTCGTCGTCTGTTAACTTTTACAAAAATCTTCTCCTCTGAAACTACTGGGCCAAATTTAACCAAACTTGCCACAATTATCATTGGGGTATATAGTTTTAAAAATGTGTCCGATGATCCCGCCTGCCAACTAAGATGGCCGACATGGCTAAAAATAGAACATAGAGGTGAAATGCAAGTTTTGTCTATTATTTTGAAAACCGTTATAAAAAGAGAAATTCTGACAGAGCAGAAATGTTCAGAATGTTGAGCTCTACCAATTATCTTATACGTTACAACTGCCAGACGACTTCTTATAGGAGTTATTGCCCTTAAATGACAAATTTTACTATTTTTTTTTCATTTTTGCCTTTTATCTTGAAAACTATAATAGATAGAGGGAAGTTTTAAAATAAAAGAAATAAGCAGGGTCGAATTCGTCAGTCGACTCCTCATTAGAGTTATTGCCCTTTGATGACTATTTTCACAAAGTTTCTGCGTTTTTGGCTTATATCTTAGAAATTATTATAGATAGATAGAAACTTATATAAGCAAAAATGATCAGCAAGACAAGATTTACAATTAAAACAAATGGGGGAAATCGTCCGACGACACCTTATTGAAGTTTTTGCCCTTAAATGACAAATTTTACCATTTTTTTTCATTTCATTTCCTATTATCATAGTAACTACAATAGATAGAGAGAAACTTTAAAACGCAAAAATTATCAGCAAGACAAGTTCTACAAATAAGTCTACATTGTCGATATATAGGAGTCTTTATAAAAGTAATTGCCCTTTGATGACGATTTTAACCATTTTTTTGCGTTTTTGCCTCATATCTTAAAAAATATAATAGATAGAAACTTAAATAAGCAAAAATGATCAGCAAGACAAGATCTACAATTAAGACAGTATGGAGGAAATCGTCCGACGAATCCTTATTTGAGTTATTGCCCTTTATTGACGATTTTTATCATTTTTTTTGCGTTTTTCGTAAAAGAATAAAAATTATAAAAGATAAATATACACTTTAAAACACAAAAATGATCAGCAAGACAAGATCTACTAACAAGTCAAATTTTGCCAATATAGTTAGTAGACAGTCACTCTTTATCCTTAAATGAGGATTTTTTTTACCCTCTTTTGTGTTTTAAGCAAAAACTAAAGAAGACAGAGAGAAACTAAACATACTTAATGATCAGCAATACAAGATCAACAAAACAGAGATATTGTCATGAATTCTATTCTCGTCTACAATGTTGGAGAGTGTCCTTCGTTGAATATGCACATAGACCAAGGTGAGCGACACAGGCTCTTTAGAGCCTCTAGTTTCTATTGTATCATTTAGAGACAATTTAAAACTGATACAGATGGTGAATTTTAAATCGATTATGTTGAAGAGGGGATACGAAGTAGAGAACAAAACATAAACGAGATTTATGTAAATAACAAACACAAATATTTTGATAAAGTCAGAGACATATATATGTCGTGTACATGTTATTATTTTGTACAAGGTATTATTTGTACAAACATTTTGTACAAGTAAATACTTATATGATGCCATCATACAAGTTATTACTTGTACACATACAATTGTACAAGTAATTACTTGTACAATTTTTATTAAGAAAAAGATAATAACTTGTACAAATCATTATTCTACTTGGCCTATTTGATGTTCACAACAGATCTTTTCCCTTTAAACATATAATTTATTACTAAGCCTAAGAGTATAAACTTTTAACATGTAAGTACTTTTTATTTAACAAATATGGCAATATCAGCAGAGAAATTATCAGGATTTTCATTCAGATGTGTGAACAGTGTATTTTGAAAAAAAGTCGCTCTGAAACCACCAAATTAGTAGTTCGTCCTATCATTTCTACAGACTTTTAACGAGCCCTGTCATGCCAACAAATACAGGCCGATGAGATGTTGTATTCTTCTAAAAGAAGATTAAAAGAGTTAGAAATTGGAGACAATGTTATAATACCAGTGCAAAGAGTAAACCGAGGTCCGATGGACTGTAGAAATATCAAAGGTGTTGTGCTGAATATTGCAGAAAATGGATACAAAATAGGAACTAAAGTTGGAATCATGATTGGTTTAATGAGTCGAAATCAAATCGAAAAGATTCAAAGAAAGGATTTGTCAATATTGGACATACCAGAGAACACTGAGGTTAACGTAGGAAAAGCAGTACAATTGCTTTCTTTGAGTGCTGGTCAAGGCCATGTTCACTGCATCTGTCCTTGTGGCTGTAAGACAGACAAATGTAAATGCAAAAAATTGAACTTATTGTTTATTTCCTGATGTCATGCGTCCTTGTCTTGTGCAAACAAATAAGTTATTTGATCTATTATGCTTGACTTTTGTTTGAATTTCCAATATATGATATCAAATATGCAACTTTTTGTCATGATTTATGTTTGAAATTAAATGGTAGAAGGGTTTCGTTTTGTTTTTCCTTTTAACGACTTTGTCACTTTACGCCAGTAGTCCTTATTTAAATGGCAACAAGCTGTTTAGCTCAATTTGCTCAAGGTGTCATGTTAGCTTAAGTTATTACTTTGCGTCCGTTGTTCGTCTGTAACCTTCTAACATTTCAAAATCAATACTAATAAACACTTGAAAAAAAGATAGAAAAACAAAAAAATATATAAATTTCAAAAATACATACGCTGAATGATGTCTACAAAGCAACAATAAACAAACATATATATAAGAATAAAATAGAAAAAGAAAAAAAAATAACCCGACAAATGACAAAAAAAAAAAAAAAAAACCCAAAGAAAGGAGTTTTTGAATAAAACATTTAAAAAAAACAAAACAGAAGGAAGAAACAAATATAACTCAAAGATAGTGAGTTGTACAAGTTATTATCTTTTTCTCAACAAAAATTGTACAAGTAATTACTTGTACAATTATATTTGTAACAGTAATAACTTGTATGATGGCATCGTACAAGTATTTACTTATACAAAGTTTTTGTACAAGTAATTACTTTCACAAAATAATAACATGTACAAGACATATACACATACGTGTATATATGTCTCTGATAAAGCCACGTGCATTACTTATCAAAATCACACATTGTGTAATATGAGGTGCCATAGAAGAGGAATTTTGAAAAAAAAAACTAAAAATGTATAATAAATACCCTTCTTCTTTATACGTCATTTGATATTTTCGAAATAATTCGGGATTTTTATCATGTAAAGACAGCCATAACCAGATCCAACTTCTTTCAACAACTTCTTCTTTATATGGCGATCGTAGACATCTTAAAATCACACTGACAGTGCTTGTCAATTTAATGCCCAATTTAGTATAAATGTGAACAAAAGAGTTGACAACTTATTATTTACCAGAATATTAACCGACAATACAATAAAATAAACAAGCTTTTAAAAAGACATTGTAAGAGGAAAAAATAAGGGTTTCTTTAAATGCAATGTGAAACTCCAATCAAGTAAATATTTATCGCTCAGTGAAAGTAAACTACTGTTCGCCGTTTCTGTCATCAAGACGGAAACTAGAGAAATGTATCTGCCGATTAGTTAGTATTCTACGGACCCATTCCACAGCAAGAAAGTACGTCAAATTTTGTGAATATATAAAAATAGTGTTTTTGCATGTTGCCTTTTATCTACATGCACATATTAGATCTTTAACGACATTGAAACCGGAGTACCTGAGATCACCCCGGTTTTTTTGGCGGGGTTGGAGTTTTTAAGTGTTAAATTCTCATTTGTTGTGTTTTGTAGTTTTGGGGGGACTTATGAGTTTGAATATCCCTTTGGTATCTTCCGCCTCTCTTTTTTAAATTTCATACTGTAAACATCTCCTAAATCTTGTCAAAAACTTTCTTCCAAGATGAAATAAACAAGAAAGGTATTAGTTGTTTGAGTTCAACCATATCTTGGTTTTAATATATGCTCTCTGAGCAAGCCTTTGGAATAAAGCATTGAAATGACGAAGGTTTATTTTTAATTCTATTTATATCAGTTCCTGTTTTAAACTTTTCTTCGGCTCATAACTCAACCATAACGATCGAATACATCAATTAAAGTTGACGCTTTATAAAAGAATATTTTATTTCGAGCAGTAGATTAACAAAACGTACACAAAAGAACATACAATAAAACCTTAAATAACTTTATAAGTGATAACAAAATAAATAACAATTATCTAGACATATAAAACTGTACAGAAAAAGTTCTTAACTCAATAATAACGGTATTAAAGATAACAAAAACAAACAATATGAATAACAGTTGTTATACCGTACTCAAGAATGTTTGCTGTTTCTGAAAGCAAGCTTAACCTAGTGATGATAAACCATGCCATTCTAAACTTTATATCAGTTGCTGTACTTTATAGAAGATTTAATACAACGGCACTGTAAACAGTACAAGGAGGCGTGAATTTGTGCAATGCATAGAAAAACTACAGAAGACCAAAAGGAACATTTTAGTATTGCTTCGAATTATAGATAATCAAGTTAATAATTCTCTAAACGATACAAAAACATACCAGGCGTAGTAATTAAATCACAGTATATTATCCTTTCCCACTGAGCATATGAATGCAGCGAGACGGTTTTGAAGGACACATCTTAAATTTTCTAGCTTTATAAACAATGTTATCGTAAAAGGCTTCAGGACAAATGGAATCATACTTTCACAACAAATCTCTTTATTTACAGTTTTGACCATTGTGTTAGAAATAAAAATATTACATTAATTAAAATCAGAGACCTCACTGCATACACGTGAATAAAGTTAATATTGTCCTTAGGTAAAAAATTACTCTCGTAAAAACTGTTAATATTAACATGAAGGCCAAGGATAGTCAATACCATATGATGGCAAACAACCCTTCTACTATCAAATATTCTAGAACACACCCGCGAAATTGCGGGCATTTAGAGCGTGGTTGAAAGTATGTAAACTGTAGTAGGATGAATTTTTGTAAAAGATTTTATGACTGGAGAATTTCAGGAAAGGTATCAAAAGTCATAGTTACTGCGACAGTACAATATTTTCTAGCCCGCTCCCTTTTTTCCAAAGTCCGTTTTTTTTTTGTTTTCTGTTAATTTCAATTATTTGCGAGTTTTCTGTATCCTATGAACATACATAATTGTTTATCATAAATAAAGTGTATTTGCTATTTACTATCAATTCCAATTTTAACATCCACGGCGGTCACTGATATATTATATAGAGAGCCTCTATATTTTATAGTAGTATGATCATAGTATACATGCAGCAGATAAACGCGAAAAATAATTGTCCTGTCCCCGAGTACTTATGAAAATTATGTGTAATTTTAAAACAGTCCTACACGGAAGTCTTATCTATGACTTAAAAGTCCGTCCGATGACGGAAACAATATCCGGACGCCTTTATTTTCGTTTTTCTCCAAAAATAACCTAAACTGAATAATCATTAGAATAGATGACAAATGCGACTATGCATGGTACCTATAGGACACAGAGGCATGATGATTAATTTATTGTGGAAGGAAGAGAAGCGACACACAAAATGAGGTCTTCTCATTTAATAGTATAGATATCAAAAGTTATAATTTTGCAACTGTAGACAAACTTGGTTAAAGTCCCCCAACTCGAGCAACTATTGTCAAATCATATAAATCGATAAAGAATAGTCGACACAACTTAGAGTCTTGTTAACATTGTAAGCGAAGACACATATATATATATAACCAATTTGGCAATATTAAAGGGTAATAATCTCTTCATCACAATGGAAAGTTTTGTTATATTTTCTTTACACTATAGATAAATGAATATTGAACTCAACAGTTTCTTAATAAAAGGGCTATTTTATATGCATACATATAATAAAGTGACATAAGGTGGTACTTGCTCATATCTTTACATATTCTTTAAGTTTGTTCATAGCACACTTGATTAAAAGCACCAAACAGTTTGGAAGAATAATAAAACTAAGTTGTTTTAGTAAGAGGCATATTTAGTGAACGATTTGATTTTTAGAAAAAAAAACAGTTGTTTTGTCACTGGAAATTGGAATACGTTTCAAACTGTTTCAAGTATTCTAAAACAGCATCGTAAATAAACTGGAACTGTTCCTGAAAAATGAAAGAAAAAATATTATAATAAATGACCTTTATAAATGACTATCTGTCCAGTCTAATTTGTTGCATTGTTATACAAGTAGTATAACTGTCCATTCAGTTCAAATTATAGTCATAAGTTAATGTGAATAACTTTGAATTTATATATGCGATTCTCTAAGTAGGACCTACCTTTTGTTAAAAAAAAGGAAAAAAATTTATAGCACATTTTGTTTTGAAAGAACATATTTTCAAAAATATACATACACAAAATCAATCCTGTGTCGCAGATGACCATATCAAAATAATTAGTAAATTAAAACCATTTTAAATATTATTGTTATACACATATGCACATTCACGGTACTTCAATCTGTCGATACCTATATTTTGGCATTGCACAAGATCATTTTTTTCTCTGATTGTTAATGACGTTTTTACATTAAATCCATTGGATATTGAATGTGTACTGGTTGGTATTTTAGTCTTTGATACATAGTTTTTTTATTAGTTTTTTTTGGCTTCGAACTAGCTGTCATTAACTGAGAGTACACTCAGATCTGTATCTTTTGTGTCTTTTTTGTTTTTAGGTATGTATAAATACCCTGCCACGTCCGGTCTGTGTTTTTGTTAGATGTTTTTCTGCTTTGTATCGATCTGATGAATTAAATCCCTTTTAACTGAGTTTTATAGTTTGTTCTTATGTTGTTCTGTTACAACATTGTCCCAGGTTAGGAGAGGGTTGGCGCCTTCAAGCATATTTAACCCCGCCACATTTTATATGTGCCTGTCCCAAAGTCAGGAGCTTGTAGTTCAGTGGTTGTCGTTGGTTCATGTCTGTCATATTTGTTTTTCGTAAATTGTTTTGTTATGAATTAGGCCGTTAGTTTTTCTCAAATGAATTGTTTCATATTTTTCATGTCGGGGTCTTTTATAGGCGACTATACAGTATGGGTTTTCTCATTGTTGAAGGCCGTTTGGTTGCATATAATTGCTTAAATCCAGTTCATTTGAACTTTGGTGGATAGTTGTCTCATTGGCAATCATACCACATCTCCTCATGTTTATATGTATATGTTTCATCTATCATAAATAATATTTAATTACTGTATTTTGAATAGGTAAACATGTGGTTTTATTGACTTCTGAAAAAAAACAACTGATATTCACTGAGGCCAACGGCCGAAGTAAATATTTAGTTAATTCAAACACATTTTTATCGAAACAAAAGACAGTACAAAAATGTAATTGCTTTATTCAGAAAGAGAAAAATGTATTTAATGACAAATATTAACCAAAACAAATTGTACGTCAAACAATTTACCATTATTATACAGGTAAAACCCTGTGACATTTAGTATTGAGAATATCCCTTTTCCCCCTGGTGAATATGCTATTTTATTCAAAATACAATTCGTATAGAAAACCCTACTACAGAGCACTGTAGTTCCTCTCCGTCTTTAATGTGGGGTTTGTGTTGCACAATGTTAAGTCTTTTTTGGCGTAGTACTGAGTTGCTTGTTTTCCTCTGACCACAGCGTTATTTATTTTCTATTTTGTGTTTTAAATTGAGAGAAATTAATTCCATTTCATTATTAACCTCCCCTCAACCTTCAAAACAATAAATAGTTGTGAATGCAATTAATATTTAAATACGGATACTTTGAACCTCCATTATAAATATTGTATAGATTCTTTATCAGGACGTGATAAAACGGATGGTTTCATTTTAATATTGATTAATTATACGTCAAAAGTTATCGAACTGAAACATTTCTCTATCAATAAGCATGAAAATGTATTACCTCGCAATGATGTGTCAATACTGGTAAGGTAACAGTATTAGACAAAAATCAAAGCCTACATGTTGGTTTGCTTTACTATAAAAAGAGATGTACAGGTTTTTGTCAATGAGACTGTTTCCAAAAATATCAAAAGTACAGATGGGTGCGGTCATAAAATGCACAGCAAGTTAACTTGATGATCAAATATTTTAACTGTTCGAAGTTAAATTGTGACAGCTTTTGGAATTGTTCCAACCTGTCCTAGAAATAAAATGAAGTGGACTTAAAAATCAAACTTAATCCTTGAAAAAGAGAAGCGAAAGATAGCAAAGGGACATTCAAACTCATAAGTCGAAAATAAACTGAAACCGTCATTTAAAAAAAAAGGACAAAACACAAACAACAGTACACAAAACACAACATATAAATTCAAGACAGAGTAACACGAACCCCACAAAAACCGGGGGTGATCTCAGGTGCTATGGAAGGGTAAGCAGATCCTGCTCCACATGATGCACCCGTTGTGTTGCTCATGTAAGTACAAACCCTGGAATTGTTATTATGGCATAAGAAAGTAAGTGTTATTTGTTTACATTTCCGCTCCTGAGGTTTACTCGATGATGTTAACTTCAACTGGACTGCATCGATAGAACCGGCCATGCTCTTGAGTTTGATCTGCTCCAAACTAAAGTTAGATTTTAATCAGGACCGCTGTGTATTAATTGATAAAGTATAATGAAATGTTCGTAAACAAACTAATATAATATTATGATGCGCTTTTACCAAAGAGGGAGAAAAATTTGCCACACTGTTAAAAGAGAAACGAGTTTAATGTCAAAATCAGACTTGTCCACATGTCTGGTCTGGAGTAGAGTTTTCACTAGGACTGGTAAAAAGTACACACACCTAAAGGTCTGGTCTTTGTTACACATGTCAACAAACAGACCACAAATGCCTGGTCTACCACAAATAAAGTTAACTTGCTTTTGTGCGCTAAATATATCATGTTAACTTTAAAAGCAGTCAAAATACGTCATTTGGTTTCTGGTGGAAAGTTGTCTCATTGGCGGTCATACCACATCTTCTTATTTGTGATAAAACGTCTGCTAAAAATAACTTTTGTAGAGGTTATAACACGTACCCTTCTTTGAACTCTTATCTTATTAATATGATGAGCTCTAAATAACCTCTAGTGTTGAAAAGTTGTGAATAAATTAAATTGAGAAAATCAAACATCTGTTTGGATTCATGAATGAATTAATTTCCAAAACTTGTATTCTACCACAAAAACATTCAAATAAAACAAAAGTGGGTAGTTTATTGCATAAAATGACCTTTAAATGACCATGTTGTTGACTTGATAATATACATTTTCGGGTATTTTTATAGCTGACTATGCGGTATCGGCTTTGTTCGTTGTTGAAGGACGTACGGTGACCTATAGTTAATTTCTGTGTCATTTGGTCTCTTGTGGAGGGTTGTCTCATTGGCAATCATACCACATCTTCATTATTATATTAATCGTATTTAAGATTTTTTCTACCTACATAGTTTAAGATAATCTGTGGTCTTCTATTCCTCGTTTGTTTAATGATGTGCTGAATATCGATATCTTGTTCTATTCTCAGTCGTTCTAGCACTGTCGCCAAAACACAGTATAGTCCACTTTTGTCACAACCATTTCTATTTAATGTAATAAAACAATTAAAAATAAGTTTAAAATTTTGAACTTTAATTTACATCACACATTTAGAGTAGATAAAAATAACTATTTCGTAGACAAACATCAGATTTGTTTTTATTTTCGAATGTTGTCAAACACATTTGTATTAGGGCTTTTAACTGCTTGAATTTAGTGCAAAACTGCATAAACTCCCAAAAAGCCACATTTTGAGATCTCGTCTTCAATAAAAAATATGAGCCGACTAAGTGGCTTTACGCAAAAAAATATTTTGCTATAAGATGAATTTTACTAAAATGTTGATGTGTGTAAAACATTTTTAAGGAAATGCCTAGTATAATATCTAATTTGTCCAAAGACTGTGTGTAAAGTGGTAATTTAAGGGCAAATATGCCTTAATGCCATCATAGTCACATCACAAATTACTTCACTGCACTATTGTCCAGATCATATTAATTTGCTTATTAACATAATTTTTGAAAAATTGAATATTTTCTATTTTTTGTCATTTCATTGGCAAAATTATGACTTTTATCATACCCACTTTTTTATACATTTTACATTTATTTACTGGATGGCGAGTCTTGTTTTGACTACGAGTCTTATGTAGACGAAATAAACGTCTTGCGAACCAAATTGTAGACCTTCTATCTTTGATGGTTCTTTTCAGACATGTATTCATCTTTATCTAGCTGATGATAATGATTTTAACAAATTGAGTCTTGAATTACAATGACAAGTGACAAAGTATACGTTAAATGAATAGCTTGAGTATCATGGCTATATATCCTACAAAAATACCAAACACATAATGTTGAGCGGACTACTGCGAGTAAGTCAGTGAGTCATAAACTGATTCAGATTAGTTAATAAATTATAAAAATTCTGATCTAAAACATTCATATATTTGTATGTCATTTTTATTTAACTATATTGTATTCAATAGTCTATTCACGTAACTTCGAGATTTTTTCTATCTAAAATGCTCCTGTCACCATGATTATTGCAAGATTAAATACAACGAACATGTCTGAGATTGAAATTCTTTCTTTTTTTGTCAATTCATTTTCGATTGGTTTTTTATATTCTTTTAAATTCTTCTGATTTAACAGTGTTTTTCCTGCAAAAATGGGAATGGTAAATACAAATTCCTTGTTTAAGGAAAAATCTTAGTTCGTGAAGAACCATATTGAATGCATAAAAAATGCACCGAAGATGATATCATCAAATGCAGAATTTTTTATCGACAAATAAATTTGTAGAGTTTGATGGATTGATATTTTAAAGAACAAACTAAGGTTCCAACTCCCTCGGACAAAGTTGAACTTAAGCGGATTTGGCTCGGTTTTTCGAGTCCCTTTAGTCATATAGCTCATCACTAGTCTAGGTAGTTATACATCCTTGGCTTTTAACATTTAAGGTGTGAGCGTTTTGAGATTGGTTAACCCAAGGCTCACACCTTTAAATGTTTAAAAGTGATTCGGACGCAGAAATGTATAAAATATATTTGGATATTCACAGACAGTGATTCAATCTATACTATTGTTATGCTCGGATGGAGCAATATTAATTCACAACCTTCTTCGACTTATATCTTTATCTACTAGACAATTTGTCTGATCTGAACATTTCACGATTTTGTCCTATTCCTGATTTGAGACATTTAGGTTGAGAATTGAGGATCGATTGTACGCTTACGTAAATTTTATAGGGCTGTGTGTTTTTTTAATCGAAACTATCTGCAAATGTGCCTTTAAATTTTATATTAGTTACTAATTCTGAAAATAAACATCGAAAAAAGAAATACTAGTAAAGCCACCTCTCTCTCTCTCCCTCGAAACTATCTGCAAATGTGCCTCTAAATTTTATATTAGTTACTAATTCTGAAAATAAACATCGAAAAAAGAAATACTAGTAAAGCCACCTCTCTCTCTCTCTCTCTCTCTCTCTCTCTCTCTCTCTCTCTCTCTGTCACACACACACACGCACACACTCTTTAGTCTAAATGTTTTAGAATATTTAAACATTGACGTACAGGCAGTGAACAAGGATAGGACTATCGTCGCCATTATTAGATTTATTCTCCACCTCAAACAGTAAATTAAACAAATCCTCTGTTGAATCTGGAACTACAGCATTGTCATCCCAACACTTTGCTTGATACATTACCAACGACCTTTCATCCTAAAAGTTATAAAAACACCTTTGTGCATACGAATATGAAGTTTATAACCAGATACAAGAAATATTCCAATAGATTACTAAAAATGTGCGATTTACAATATGAAAAAAAATTAATAAGTGTTGATTTTATTATTATCGACTTTTCAGTTTGAGTATATAGTTTAAAACATAAATGGCGTTTTGCATTTGAATTGAGCATTAAAAAAACTTATTTGTATGAGTTCGTTTATAATCATTCTTTTCGTTCTTATTGGACTGAGCTTAACCATTGACCAACAAGACAAAACGTGAATACATATTTTTTTATTTTTTCTTAATTGGATGGATTTATCATTTACGTATTTGAGGTATTGTAGCTTGTTGTAGCAAATTATAGTCGTATATACAGTATGGTTTCAGCTCGTTGTAAAAGCCGATACAATGATTTTTATGCTTACATTCACGTCATTTGGACTCTGGTGGAAAATTGTCTCATTGCCAATCATACCACATCTTCTTATGTTCATATTGATAACAAAGAGACTGAAGCTTATTTTGTACATACCCAGGTTTTATACTTCAAGGTAAGATGTAAACAGTTACAGTAAGGCTTTGATTCCATTGCTGTAAGTTCTATTTTAAAAGCTCCAATTTGGATTGGTGTCTCTTGATTTTCAGGCCAATACACATCCTAGGTAAGATTTTGTTTTTACATAATAAGCTTTATTTATACTTGTTAAAAACAATATTTGAAAAACAAGACTAAAGATATATAGAAATAAATATAATTTTTCCAAAATAAATATTTTTCTGTATATATTTTTTCAAATGCATTGTTTTCATACTAGCTTAATCAATATCTCATTAACTTTGAAAAACTCTCATTTAGTGACATGCACCTTCTGAAGACAACATCTACACTATTTGACATGATCATAAAGGATGCTTCGTGTATAATATAGTCATAAAATGTTCCTACAATATACAAAACATATACCTTTGGCAAAAAGTGTGTTTACATTGTCTATCCTCTTATTTATCAGTACAAATTATAAAAGTAAGGAAAATATTCATGTCAGGATAGGCATTGAAATTGGAACTTATCCAAAATAATGCCTATACAGGTTAGCCAAGGCTCCGTGTTGAAGACCGTAATTTGACCTATAATGGTTTACTTTTATAAATTTTGACTTGGATGGAGAGTTGTCTCATTGGCACTCATATCACATCTTCTTATATCTATATACAATCAACAATCATTTTTTTTCAAATATTAGGAATGATTTTCACCACTCAAGTGCCTAGTTGATATAATCATATCCATTTACCCATCAAGCTAATGGTATACGAATTGTATTGGTTTTTTTTTGCAATTTCAGGTACCAAATAATGCCTTTGAATTTTCATAGCAGAACACATTTTTTGTTAAAAGATTAAAAATTCACATAATAAAATATGACCTCATCGTCTATATTAATCATATTATTTTGAACAGAAATGCATATACTAAAAATGTTTAAAATTTGAATACAATACACTTACGTTATTCAATCACAGTCTTTGATGGCCTTAGCCAGGTTTGGCACATTTTTTCGACTATTTGGTGTTTTAATGTTCTTCAACTTCGTTATTTATTTGGTCGTTTAACTGTTTTAATTCGAAGTTCCCTGAAGAGTCTTATAAGAGAATTCCGGATCTTCGATTTAACTTATGCTTTACTTTATCAGTCGTGTATTACAAACGTGTTATGCATTTTCATTGTTTTTTTATATTTCGATGTATTCAAGTTATAAGCATGTTTAGTGTGTAGTAAATATCATGTATATGTGATCTCGCAAATCCGAAATTTTATATTTAGACAAAACGGGAGTTTGGTGTTCAAAATTATAAGCCTGGTTTTTTTAAGAGTTCTTATACTAACCGTATCTTCTTTAACTTGGTTGAGCATAACAATTGTTTGTATGTTGTGGTCGTACACCAGCCTCCAAAGATCTATTTTCGTATGATCAAGTGGCAGCTGTGTTACTATGAATGCTTTCTTGTTTTTGTAGCCCTTTAAAATATACCAGAAAACCATTTTCATTTAATTATAGTTCACCAATGAACCAATTCTACCGATCGCATTTGTTAATTTTACTAATATGTGATTACAAAACTGATTAATATTAAAGGAACACATGCAACAACATAGAAAATGAATGGATTTATACTGTTTTTATTTTGCTCAGTTTTTTACATGTTATTGTCGTTATCCATTACGTTAGTGATTTTCTGTGTCACTTCTGTCTGTTTGTACAACTTGAAATGTGGATATATAAGCAACATTTAAAGGATTTAAAACTATGAATTAACAAGTAGTAATGTAAAGCAGTATAATACAGCGACCTGCAGTACGCGTCACGCAATCATGAGTGCACAGAATGAATTAAATATGAAATACAGTAAATACCCGTCTTTTTTGTTTTTGATTTTCTTGGGTGTTTTGTTTTCTTGGGAAGGAGGGAGGTAGGTGTTCCTGTCTCATTGACGTGTAACCATAATTCAATGTGTTTATAGTATGTTTTAATCATCGAAAATATAAACATTATGAAGTTTTTGGCATGATGAAAAAATAAAATCTAAATATTTTAACTGTCACAAGCTATGTATATTCAGGAGGTAAAATCAATTGAGAGAACGTTTTCAAGGTGCGATAATTGTATTTATATTAAGTATGCAAGAAGAATATGTATAGGAAGTCTTTTCAATTTTTGAATTCAATAAGTGTAATTACTATTCAAGTATGTTTGCTACTTTGTATATGAAAGAGTTCTTTTTTACATTTGCATATGCAATTTCACAATTACAAAATTAAAATCAAATAAAACTATGTTACAAAATTTTAAAATGATTTCAAACTATTTGACTTACAGGTAAGAATACGGCATTGATATATTCATTGTGTCCTTCCACAAATGTTGACAGAATTGGCATCTCATATTCAACTACAAAACCAATACAAATAAGTAGATCTGCCCTTAAAATGAAATGTACATGTAATGAAGTTACAAGAATCAGTTACTTGGTATTCAAAATCTTTAAGATGTAGTTTTGCCATATATAAATTACTCGCAGAAGTTTTATTTTTTCAGTATTTAAATCTTAATTTGTTGCAATCAGCCAAGTTTACAACAGAAGCTCACTACATTAAAATGTGTCGGCAGTAACAATTGTTTACTCTTTGTTTTTTTAGTCGTTTTAATTTAATAAAGCAGCTACATACCTGGAAGTATTGTACTGTCTCTATTCTTGGTCCTATTTTCAGGAATTTTACCTTGATCAAATACATTATCTTCATGTTTTTCGCACATTGCGTTCATTCGCTATGGAAAAAGACAACATATATATATTGGAATTTTACATTTTATTCGATATGTTGTAACTAGTAATTACAGAATTGGGGTTTTTTTTTATCTTTCTTGTATTTTATCTTCATTTATATAAATGTCAAGGGAAGTTTGCAGAAATGTAATTGAAGAATTGATTGGAGTAAAAAGAAATAAACCAGAAATATACTCATACCTGATACTCCACTTGGAGTTTTGTTTTATTTCTACTTGAATCGTGCACCATTAACTCTTTATATAAATCAGGAAAATCTTTCGAAGGAATTCCAGAATTAGGACACATCACTGCTTCTAATATTGCTTCATGGAGAAACACGTACTGACGCTAAGAAATAAAGAATATCAATATGCAAACTGTCAGTGTAGATCTTTAGGTATTCTCTGTATTGTTTTGTGGACTCTTGTTTGTATTTTTGGTACATTTTTAACTCATGCTTTCTAATTTTGACATTGACACCGTTTTGTTCTTTCATAGAAAATACCTATGTAGAATGCAAAAGATTAAACAAAATAAGATCAAGTAGAAGTTGAGCAGGAATAACGTTTATGTTTTAAACACTTTTTTATTTGCAACAGACTGAAAGAAAACGAATGTCTAAAATTATGTAATAAAGAGACTGAAGAAGTATGAATAGCTAAGGTTTACTTATATGACATTATTTTTCCACAACATTGCATATTTGAATAATTAGGAAATAATCATAAATTACTTCATAGTAAACTGCATTTGTTAGGAATTAAAACTGATCTTAGAACTAAAAAAGTACGTTAATATCAGATTCCCTATGGATCTGAATCTTAATCTACCATAGGTCGGTTGCTCTCTCCTTACATCCCAACTTGCTCCTTTGATAACGAAATTGTCGTCATGATATAGCCCAAAATAATGAAAGACGCGTTAGAAACCAACAATCATCAAACAACCCAAATCTCATTTATATTTGATTAGAAAAATCCACCATATAAAAAGTTACTCTTCTCATTTTTAGAAACGTTATATCAGCCGAAACTCTCTCACTGTTAATGACTATATAGATGTAGAGCAAGTGTGAGCAGGATTATTTAAAATTCCCTTTTTAACAAACCCTGAAACTAGTAAATGTAGATGTGAAACAAGGATTTTGTGTGAGGGAGAAGCATACTAACGCTTAGTAATACCATTACACAAAATAACTAGAGCCTCCAAGGCGCCTGTATCCACCACCTGTCAATTTTAAACAAATATAATACAACGCATTTAGAATATTTCAAATACTTTCCCGGCAAAGACGCTCCAAATTGTTATATCATCCTTCCAGAGCAATAAATCCTAGAAGTATTCGAGTCGACTGATGATTTCATGCATTTTGACGTTTTGATAACCTTTCTTTTACAGTTTCTCTCCATCTACTATAGTTTACGGAAAACAATGGTTAAAAGGTGTCTTTCAAAAACATTAACTCCTATAAGGAGGCGACTGTTCATATCGGCCATATTGACATATCTGTAGATGTTGTTCTGTTGATTTTTGGTGTCTACAGTTTCCAGCTTTCTACTCTATTGTCCGCAAAAACAACAAAAAACACAGAAATTGGTTAAAACAAAATTGTCTTTGAAGAGCAATAACTCCTATACGGATTCAAATAACAATTTCGGACATCTAAACTTATCTATAAGTCTTGTCTTGCTGATGTTTTTACCATTTACAGTTTCTCCCTTTTTACATGTTCTAGTATAGTTCCGCAAAATCAAAACAATGAGTAAATATCTTTGTTCAAGGGCAATACCTCCTTCTATACGAGTCAATTGAAGATTTAGCACTTTGGACTAATTAGCAAATCTTGTTCTGTTGGTAATGTTGTATACATTTTCCTTCTATCTACTATAGTTTCGACAAAAACACAAATGAGTAAAAAGAGTCTTTGAAGTGCAATCATATTTCTTCATATAAGGGGGCGACTGCTAAATTTGGCAATGTAGAGTTATTAGAAGATCTTGTACTGCTGAAAAGTTTTGTTGTTTAAATTCTCCAGCTATATTTTCTAGTTTCCGCAATAAGCAAAACAAAAATGATTAAAATATCGTTTTTTTTAATGGCAATAACTCCTATTAGGAGTCGACTGACGATTTCGGTAACATTGAAGTATTTGTTGCCTGTACCAAGTCAGGAATATGACAGTTGTTATCCATTCGTTTGATGTGTTTGAGCTTTTGATTTTGCCATTTGATTAGGGACTTTCCTTTTTGAATTTTCCTCCGAGTTCAGTATTTTTGTGATTTTACTTTTTGATGGTTTCCTGTAGATGATTATTGCCATTCCAGTTGTTGTTGTTTATCTATTAAAATTTAAAAGATAATAGCAAATATGCAAAAAAAGAAATGCTAAAAATCGTCATTTAAGGGCAATAACTCCTTTCAGGAGTCGTCTTACAATTTTGGTCAAAATAAGGGGGTAAGTAGATTACGCAGAACATTTTCCATTTATAACAATTAACAAGATAATAGACAATATTTTAATTTTAACCCTATGTTCTATTTTATACATTTGCAGGCAGGTAGTATTATCGGACAGATACCTTAATGATGACTTTGTACCAGTAGTTTCCGGGGAGAAGATTTGTAAAGGTTACAGGAGGAGAGACAACCACGACGGATACCAAGTGATAGCAAAAGCTTACACTAGCCATTTGGACCAGGTGAGCTAAAACAATTTTTCCATATACAACTTTTCTTAGGACATTTTTATCTTAGACTTTACTAGTTTGAGAACCAGCATAAGGATGTTCGCTCTTCTTTTTCAAATAACAATCATTTTAAAAGACTGTTATAGATTGATAGTATATGAATAACTCAAAAAAAATAAAAGGTCCGTGTCCTTGTCTTTGAGATATAATCAATAGAAAATTTGGTGGGAAATGATTCTCTCTATACTGTTCATATCTTTATTATGGGCACCTTTTTTCTTTCAAACACTATGAAATATATAACAAGGATATGAGATTTTCAAAAATGTATTTTCAAACTATATGTAATAAAAATGTGAAAAAAAAAGAAGGGGTTAGCGGGCAAAATTTTTATTGGCACTGCATGGGTAAAACTTGAGGATTCCTTACATCTGACAAAAAGTCAAAAACAAGAGAAGCGAACATCCTTTAAAACAACTTTTGCAAAAATTTAAACTTTTATGTATAAAATGACTGTATACAACTTACAGCAGTCTGCACCATATTGACCCTTTGCCTCCTGAGAGTTTCTACACATTTAAACACGTCTATATACTTCAAATCATTCGCCTCATTCACAATATAGTCCAATGCAATGAAGGTTCCTGTTCGTCCAATACCAGCACTGAATGTGTATTATGTAGATTAATGACATGTTTTAGTAGGGAACTATAAACGACCTTGTTTTGTGCATTGTAAATGAAAATAGTAACTCATCTAATTTTAAATCTTAAACACGAAAATGTTAACACTAAATTGGTATGACATCTAATAGCTGGTTTCCTTTGTGTTTCCCTTGTCAAGGAAACATTGGTTGTAAATACTCAGCATAATTTGTCGCAATGAAGGAAAAGAAGCTACCACAAGTAGAGCGATAAACCAAATCGTGATAGCGTCGGTGAAACCGTAGAAGAGACTACTTTGATTTCAACTTTACCATTACTAAACTTTGATGCAGTAAATATTATAAATCAAAACTAAAAAACTGTATGGGTATTTGAATACACATGCTACATCAATCTTTACAAACCCAAATGTTGCAAAACATCTGTCCTACCTCCATGACAGATATGTTATTGTTCCCGCAGATAAAGCCCCAAACAATATCGTTTGTGTGTGTAAATCACATTACATAAACTGCTTGATAAATGAATTAGGTATTGACAATTCACTTGGAAACTCAACCTATACCCCCACGACACTTACCAAAGAGGAAATCCTTGATATTCATAGGTCTGTTCTATGAACCGTTAGAATTTCAACCAGAGATGAAGTTCTAGATCTTCCTTAACTGTATTTGATACCCTAATTTCATAATGTCATTACAACCAACGTTATATTGATGGGTCTTTCTAGTGCTCCACGAAACCTCTTTCTAAATTATTAACATCAATTTTATCAGTAATCAAAGACAGGCTTCAAAGTTATTGTGAAACTACCTATCATAGAGGTGGCGTGAATTAAATGTGAAACAAAGATCTTTTAGAGTACCTTCAATCAAAGACTCCTTCAGCTTGTAATAGTATTAAAACATTTGACTTTTCTACATTTTACACAAGTATTCCCTATTCCAAAGTAAAAGACAAACTGAAAGAGTTGGTCCTGCTTTGTTTCATAAAAAAACGGCCAACGTAGATACAAGTATTTTTTTGAGGTAGAGATACATCTTACTTTGTAAAAAATCACTCTGATGCAAACAAAAAATTGTCTGAAACTAAAATTATCAAGATGCTTGATTTCTTTGTTGACAACATATTTGTTACGTTTGGAGGATGTGTTTTTCAACAAATAATCGGCATTCCCATGGAAACCAACTGTGCTCCTCTTCTTGCCGACTTGTTCCTTTATTCATATAAGGCTGACTTCATACAAGAGATTAAGAAGAAAGAAAATAATTTAGCATTATCCTTTTACTTCACTTTTCGCTATATAGATGATGTTCTCTAACTAAATAATTCAAAGTTTGGTGACTATGTCGAACGCATCTATCCTATTGAACTTGAGATAAAGGATACAACAGATACAGTTAAGACTGCCTCATATATTAACTTACATCTAGAAATTTACAATTAGGGTCGGTTGCAAACAAACCTGTACGACAAAAGAAATAATTTCAGCTTCCCAATTGTGAACTTTCCATTTCTATGTAGCAACATTCCAGCAGCGCCTCCATATGGAGTATATATATCCCAATTGATACGATATCCCAGGGCTTGTATATTTTATCATGATTTCATTGATAAAGGGTTGCTGCTCACAAGGAAGCTTTTAAACCAAGAGTTCCAAGTGGTGAAGTTGAAATCATCCCTTCATATATTTTACAGACGCCATCACGAGTTGGTTGACCGTTATGGAATATCTGTTTCACATATGACGACGGATATGTTCCATTGTAGTAATCGCAATTCTGTCCTCTTTTGCAGTTTGTGACCTGCCGAATTAGATTCATCACCGCTTTTGTACTTACATGAGCAACACGACGGGTGCCACATGTGGAGCAGGATCTGCTTACCCTTCCCGAACAACAGAGACCACTCCAGGTTTTTGGTGGGGTTCGTGTTGCTCAGTCTTTAGTTTTTCTATCTTGTGTTTTGTGTAATGTTGTTTGTTTTTTGGTCTTTTTCTTTTCTTTTTGCCATTGCGTTGTCAGTTTATTTTCGACTTATGAGTTTGAATGTTCCTTTGGTATTGTTAGCCTCTCTTTTAACGCATGCACAATAAGTTCTCAGCAATAGGTGTACTGTTTTTCTTAATCATGTCATTGTAATCGGTCACTGCAATGTCTCTTTACCATTTCATGTAAATTTAATATAGTTGTTTTTAATAAGTAGCTATCAGCTCAATTTTTAATGCTTTGGTACTGGCATGAGTTCTAACATACCTTTCTTGAACTCTCCGTTCATAGTTAAGAAATTAATCAGAAAACTCTCTCAGGCTTAGTAAACCTTAGGTGAATTTGGCTAAGATTTTTTATGCTTCCGTTTGGTCATTTATCTTATCACGTGTTCAGGGTAAAGAAGAAACGCGCTTCAGGTGCACACCAATTAAAAAATGTTATTTTCATTTTCTAGCTACTGCTCGATACCACTGCTAGTTTACATTTATATCAAATAGCATTGACCTACCGTTAGTGGTTCCCCTTAAGACAACTACAGAACAGTCAAACCATTCTGATGTCAATTTTGATTTAAGGAGGTTAATCTTTAAGGAAAAAAGGAAATGTGGAATACATGTTTACAATTCTTTTATTTCAAATAAAAACTTTCATAAAAGTTATATTCAGTTCACATACTCTGCATGCATCTAGTATTCGGTTTACATTTTCTTCTCTCTTTCCAGAAAGTGTATGTAATTTTCCGGTATTTGTGCTTAGGCATGCAACAAATTGTGCATACTGAATACGTTAAAAGAAAATAGTTTCTTTGTTACTTTGATGTGTACATAATATTAAGTTATATTATATTAAATTAAAAAACAGACACATGCAGCCTTTTCTCAAAAGCTGTATTGAACAAATCTGTTGACTGCAAGTTGTAGCTTACCTGCAGTGAATAATTATTGGTCCATTTGGTGAAACCTTGGATGAGAACACCTTATGTCGAAAGTGCACTATTGATGATGCATATTTTGGGACATCTTTATCAGGCCAAGCAGTAAAATGAAATTGTTTCACAGTTTTGCTTTGGTTTTCCTGTAAATGAAAAAAAAAATATAAGTGTGTACATATGGGATAAAGTATACATGGTTTGTATGTGCTTATTGTTAGGATTTTGATCTTGTCTAAATTTTCCACAAATGAAAGGATGTTGAACTTTGTCACTTTTGGGGGATATTACACATACCTTTATTCCTTTTTAGTGTTCAAGTTAAAAATGTTATACTATGCATATATACAGTATAGTCATAATTTTGATAAGAATGTTGAATTTAGTCATATGTTTACCCCCTCGAGCAAAAAATCCTTTATAACAATGCATTAATGATGAATATAATATATCACATCAGTACCATATTCATCGCCTATTTACTGCTATTTCATTTTCATGTATATTTTTGCATTATTCGCATTTTTTACCTCTTGTTAACAATGCAAAAGTTGGGTTATGAAGTTTAAAAGGAACAACAATTAAATTGTCCTACGTTAGTGAATAAATCATTACTATGGAAGGAGCATTTAATTTGTTTGACAGACACACTAGTAGTTCTTCGACTTCACTTTTCGTCATTGTCTAGTTTTTAATGAATGTCTTACGTATATATGTGATAAATGCTGTGGTTGGAGATTTACCGCATACAGTGATTATTATAAAATTTATGCATTATTGAAACTAATAAACAAACGTATTGCTAGTAGTATAGACACACTTGGGATCAATAAAATCTTGAATGGTTTTTAATTTCCAAATGCACCTTCGGCTAATAAAAGCTCTATAGTGTGAATGCGTGTTTCAGAATAATGTAGATTGTGAAAAATAAAATAGCAAATATACCGAAATCCAAGGAAAATTCAAAACGGAAAATCCCTAATCAAATGGCAAAATCAAAAGCTCAAACACATCAAACAAATGGAAAACAACTGTCATATTCCTGACTTGGTACAGGCATTTCCTTATGTAGAAAATGGTGAATTAAACCTGGTTGTATAGCTAGCTAAACCTCTCACTTCTATGACAGTCGCATAAAATACCATTATATTGACATCAATGTGTGACCAAAACAAACAGGGACAATAGGTAAAAATGTAAAAAATAGGAGCAGTCAACACTGTGTTATTATTATAATCACTATGAAACAAACAAATATGTCAACAAAGAAAAACTAAAAGGCATATAGACAAAGCACAGAAGCAAAAAATGAAAGACACGAATACAAAAAAAAGAATACAGCACAATAACACAATGGCAGGATGTATAAGTACCGAGCCACGTCAAAAGGATATAACCAAAAATGGACTAAACAGTAGGTTATTAATTTACAACGACAAATAAAAGAACACTATAACACGTAATTAAGATGATAAACAACGTCAGTACCTAGAATCTATACATCAAGACCATCATGTATTATTTGTGAAGTTGGAACGGAATATTTATCAACTAAGTCTTGGTATCTTCCGATGAACTTTTTTTTTCTTTGACAAAACCCTGGTTCATCAACTTTCTGCTCAGACTCTGGTGACGTTTTTTTGACTTTTTGATACTATCAGATTATTACAAGAAAGTGTTCATATCAGATGTATTATCAGCCCTTTGCCAAGATATCAACCTTCAAGATCTGAATGTTAAAGAGTTGATGTTGACCGAAGGCTGATACATGTAATACATCTGATCTGAAAAAATATCAAGTTATAATCTTTTTATCACATACTTCCACGTAGAAAGAAATACGTTGTAAAAGAATGTTTTACTTTAAAAATTTCAATCGTAAGTACCTGTACGCAATTAATACTGCAGGTTATGGGCAGTTTCAAATATGTATTATTTTCAAAATATATTAAACTGAAGAATAATCATACGCCCTTATATTTTCTATGAGTTTCATATTGATAAATTCTGTACGGCACGAACATATTTCTTATTAGGCCGCTAAGCACCATTTCGAGAAAAATGGAATTTACGTATATTTAAATCTTTTATCATTCTGTAAACATTATAAGTTATTTACTCCAAGTATACGATAGTATATATTATTATACCTTCACTATCTTCAGTGTTCTAATAGTAAAATCTGAGTAGACGTCTTCATCTATCAGCAAAATTTCATTTGATCCATATCTTTTTGTTTTAGTTTCGGGATCAGGCCAATACTGTTTACATTTCGGCTAAAATGGAATGACAAACCTAAACATGTTTTTACACAACTTTTAATTACCTTTTCAATTGTCACATTTATAGCAGTTTTTATTTTACTTATTTAATCTATCAAATGATTTAAAATTTCTAAATCATAGAGATAACTATAACTTTGAAACGAAAAAAAAGTGAAAATAGGAACAAAATAAATTTTAATGGTTAAAGAAAATGAATGATAGTAGTAAAAGACAGGAACATAACATAATATTTTTTTTTTATATACCCTTATTTACGTCCGAAAAAAAAGTACTTAACATGTGTTTTATTATACAGAAAGTACAGGAAACTGTTTGCCTCCAGTAAACAATTCAAACCCAGTAAATAGTTTGAGAAACTATTAACTGGTAAATTGTTCATTTACCGGGAAATTTTGTTTAACCGGTAAATAGCCTTATTCAAACAATTTTGCAAAAAGAGTTAAATTCGTCTAAATTTTTATGAAGACAATACATACTAAAGTATAATGAAAATGCGCTTATTAGTAGCTATAGTTACTTTTTATTCTTTCTAAAACTATTTCAGATGATCTTTTATAAAATACATTATATAACATTCTCATTACCTTGCCTAGTTCAAAAACATTTGTTAACATAACAATTTTGCCACAATCATATTGCCAGATCATCCTCCAAAAATCATTGATAGTAGATTCCAATGGTCCTACAATACATTCAGAACTGAAGTTGATATTTTACCTTAATCAACATCTGGAAACGTAAAAAGTTCTATAGTATGTTTTAAATATCAATAGTGCACACATTTCCTATATGACATAATTTAGTCAGACCTTATGTTTGTCCTAGAGGAAAAGGAATTGTTTCTGATAAATCAGAGGATATTTATGTTTTCGAATAATCGTTAATAGTTTGACCCAATGGTCCTACATAATCCCAGTTTTTTTCCTGTCGATGGTTGGTGTTTCTATCCGAATACTTCGGTTCCACCACCAATACAAACTAGCCGTCAGGATAAAAAGTAAAATAACAAAAACACCAAACATGAAGAAAAATTCAAAACGGCAAGTCCCTTATGATAAAGCACAGATTTCTGAAATGGTGTTGAATTTAATCAATCAATCAATCAATCCTATAATCCATTTAGACCTTAGATAATAAAAAATCGTGTTTGAACTCAGAAATGTTCATACTACCTTTTACATGTAAATGTGTATAGTTCATAAATTTGCTTATGTGATTTATATGTCAGTCTTTGCTGAAGGTCACAATATGACTTTGGAAATAAAAGCGTTGTTCTTGTGTTCTTGGCTTTTTCAATATGCGCATGCAGTTGTGTCATTATATTCTTTTCTTCCATTTTTCTACGCAATTGAAACAGGCATTATTTTTTTATAGTTCTTTTTATCAAATATAATGCTAAAACAATCCTGAAATTCTATAAATTCTATACCTACTTACCTTGGGCAGCTATGTATTTCTTTACTTGACCATATCCCTAAAATAACATTTTGTTAAAATTTTGTGTAAGAATAAGCTTTCTTGATAAGTTGGTATTAGTACAAAATACTATTGCCTAATAGAGAACTCAACTTTCCCTCATCAGCAGGGTCGAACCCTTTTTTAGGGTATACGGTAGTATATGTGTAGGTATAAGATATAATGCTAAATTACAATGTACTTAAAATGCTGCTTTAATAATAAAGATCAGAAGAAGATAGTTATATGTGCTAGATGCATTTTAATTTAGCTTTAGTCCTTTCAATCATATGATGGCATGACCAATGAAAAAGACTTTTCGAACAGATAAAAAAAACATATTGCTAAGTATGTGAAGATTTCTACCATTAATATTTTACAGAGCTTCAATAATAAATAGATAATTATGTATGAGTCATACAATCAATCACAGCGCCTCCGATTAAGGTACAGAAAAGAGCACCTCAAATGCTTTGAAAATTCAACACTACAATTTTCCTTTTACAAGTTATAGTTAAAAAGTGACAAGAAATATAGTAAAACATCCAAACTTTGACTATAAAAATTTCTTTACAAATAAATGATGAGATATAAAATACAACACCGCCCTCGTGTGAAATATTTTCAAACATGACTGTGTTTTACAAACTTCTTCTAACTGTCAAAACATTAAGCCAAATTATTCTTGTCAAGCCTTTCATGAAATCAGTATAATCTCCGTCACGATTGGCAACACTTAAAATTAACAGTTCTTGAATCTTTAATTCCTTTTCTTATATCAATTCTTTAATCATATATTCTATTCATGCGATCAATAATGGTATCATTGCAATTCTCTACTTCAAGGGAATTTACAATGTAGAATTGGTATAAAAATAAGAAGATGTGGTATGATTGACATTGAGACAACTCTCTACCAGAGACATAAGAAACTATAGATCACTGTATGGTCTTCATAATATTTCCGTCTCATTATGTTCTTAGCATATATTTAAACGGAAGGGTAACAAACAACATCATTATTATAGTAACATGCTGATTTTACTTACATTTATAAATGATGCGTTAATATAGTCAGATGCTGCTTTTCCTGGTTGTAGGTCAAGTATAACACGAGTTTCATCATCTAAATGATAATTCAGATTAATTAAGAATTATTCAAGTTGATTGATATTTCAATGTTATTTTTTTTAATAAGGTGTTAAATGTAAATGAATAAGGCACAAAATAACGAGTTACTGTACCTTATAAACCCATCATAGATAACAGGTTTAACATTTTGTACGACGACGGGCGTTTATTCCACAATAGACTCATTAGTGACGCTAGAATCAAAAAAGGTAAAAAGTCCAAATCAAGTTGAAGTTGAAGAGCATTGAGGACCCAAATAACAACCATATGTGAAGCTTTCGTAAGAAACCGTTTATGAAGTTAACATGATGTGTTTCCCACTATAATTGCATTGTTTTATAAATAAAGATGTCAGTTTGATAAAGCATTCTTCATGATTGACCGATAAAACCATGTCTTGATTTTCACCTTGGTTCTCAAACTTTCCACTAAATACATATATACATTGTGTTTTATTCAATCAACTATGTGTTAATAACTTATCGGATTAGTACTAAGCAGAACACTAACATATGAGACACAAAATACCGATCAAAGAGTACGTGCAGTAATTACGGAAAGGTAGTTCAAGCCCAATTTCTGGTAATAAATAGACCATGATTTCCTCAGACTAAAATGTCAAACAGAACTACTTTTAAATTGTTTATACTAATAAAAAAAAGGGTCACAATTTCCTATTAGTCAATCATATATGTGTATTATGAATGTGTTTTTTCAGACTTTCACGAGATTAATTTTGGTGGATGAAGCAATTTGAAGTATTAAATATGTTTTGACATTACTGATATCTTTTTGATACACATAATTGTAATACTTTACATACATGGAAATACATTTTTGTATTTATTTTTGCCTGTATTTTCAGTCATTGATGCTGTTTTGGTTTCCTTAAGGTGTTCCTTTTTCAGTTTCTGAAAGAAAGAAAAAACAATTGATATTTGCATATCACTATGTAAAAAAAATAACAAGAGGCTCCTAGCAGCCTGACAACCATGTCACATTATTGATATTAATTTCCCTATTTCGCGATCAAAATCTTTTATAACAAAAAACACATTAATAACAAGCATACTGCTTTTCGAGCGCGCTCAATTGAAATTGGGATCATCCCTATAATTTATATAAACATCAGGATAAGAAAAATATATTGTAAAAAATCCTAGAAGCCTCCATCAACAACCCCTCTCACACCCTACCCATGCCCTAGTTTTTGTCCTCCGTTAATCATTTGTCGCAATGTTAACAACAATTAAAACGCTTTTGTTGAAAACTTACAGTTTATAAAAAAAAAGATGATATCCAAATTTAACAATTAGAATCTTACTTTAAATGAATTGATTCAAGCAAGAACTAGTCTCATAGTTCTGGTGGACGTTGACTTGGTTTTACACTAGTCATTTTTGGGGCCCTATATAGCTTGCTGTTCGTTGTAAGCCAAGTCTCCGTGTTGAAGGCCGTACTTTGACCTATAATGGTTTAGGTGTAATACCACCATTGATTTTTCCCTATTAGTCTTTGTTAAATTTGCACTTTTCAAAAAATTGTGCAGAATTTATCTGTGTTTCAAATAAAGAAATACTTTGCATGAGTAAAGTTGTATCCTGTCCAGTACTATAGAAAAAATTTCACATAACATTTCATTGCATATAAAAAGATAAACATCACTGGAAGTTAACCAATCAAATTTTCCCCCTTTTTTAACCTGTGTACAAGCTTTAGTAACCATGTAACCTCAAGTTTCCAAAATATTCTATAGAAACCCCAAATAAAAAAATAATGGTGCTTTGAAATACCCAAGATATATGTTTATGACCAAGAAATGTTTTAATGCAATGAAATGTAGGATCAATTACCTACAACTGTCAAATTCAAGGGAATATTTTTTTTCGACCTATTTTCGTATGCAACCGGATGTGACGTACTATGATTTGGTGGTATTACACCTAAAGAAGACTTTTTTGTTAAATAAACTGAATGTGACTTTTTTCCATTGTAATACTAGTTATTTCAAGCATTCCTGTCAAGTTTTGTCATAATCAGTTCAATAGTTTGAGAAAAATCTAGTATAATGTAAGACGACATTTACAGCGATTCGAGCAAAATTTCTTCGAAAAATCCAAACCAAGCCGCATCATGATAGAATATAGTGTTGACCAATAAATGATCAAATATTTATCTCATCTGCCTACAAACAGTTGAATATGATACAAAAGATGACTTAAGGATGATAATACTACTAATTGACCTCTTTGTCTTCCTTATAAGGTCTCTTTTGGTCCATTTATACCTCTCATTTCCTAAAAATTTCTACTTTTTAGGCCAATAAATAAACATTTTGGGGTAATTTTCTCTCATTTATGATAGAAATGTCATAATAAATGATTAGTTGAAGTATTCAGGCTGAATGAACTATCCGTATAAAAGTTTACTGTCTCCAAGGAGGTTTCAATAAGTCCTTACGTAAAACTTGAATTTACGCCGCGTTCCAGAGAGGGACATAAAAAGCTTCTCTTTTGGTGAATAATTTGTTGTTACTGCTTTAAAACTATATATTTATTAAAGTATTTCTTAGGAAAAAATTTCTAGTATAGCAGAATATAAGAAATAAGGAGAAAAAGCTCCCCAAAACTCTAAGTATGGCTTGTTCTGTCAACTAATATTCATGGTAAAGTCCTATTTCAAGGAAATTTTCTCATAAAAAGTGTTTTGGAGACTCAATCCACTCAGAATATTTCATTATTTGTAAAATTTAACTTAAATAGCAAGAGAGTACTCACAAGGTCTAAAGTGCATGTACAGCTTCCCATATTAGGTGTAATACCACCATTGATTTTTCCCTATTAGTCTTTGTTAAATTTGCACTTTTCAAAAAATTGTGCAGAATTTATCTGTGTTTCAAATAAAGAAATACTTGGCATGAGTAAAGTTGTATCCTGTCCAGTACTATAGAAAAAATTTCACATAAAATTTCATTGCATATAAGAAAATAACCATAACTGGAAGTTAACCAATCAAATTTTCCCCCTTTTTTAACCTGTGTACAAGCCTTAGTAACCATGTTACCTCAAGTTTCCAAAATATTCTATAGAAACCCCAAATAGAAAAATAATGGTGCTTTGAAATACCCAAGATATATGTTTATGACCAAGAAATGTTTTAATGCAATGAAATGTAGGATCAATTACCTACAACTGTCAATATCAAGGGAATATTTTTTTCGACCTATTATCGTATGCAACCGGATGTGACGTTCTATGATTTGGTAGTATTACACCTTTTTTTTTAAACTTTTACAAATTGTGACTTGGATGGAGAGTTGTCTCATTGGCACTCATACCACATCTTCTTATATCTATTGTCAAAAGATCCAGAACAGCCAAAAAATGTAATAACAAAAATAACGAACTCTAAGGTAAATTCATGAATGTGAAGCCCGTTAAAGTGACAAAACCAAACGTTCAACTATACCAACCAACGGAACGACTTGAAAACATCTGCCATATTTAATATAGTAATTTTTCGAAGAAAATGGCGGGTTAAATCTGGTTTTATAGCTTGCTAAACCTCCCACTTATTTAACAGTTGTATATAGAACCTTTATATTGACAAAATTGTGTTACCAATCCAAACAGAAATGATTGGTTAACACGATGATAATTTGGATTTAGCAGCCAAAATAGTGAAAACAAACATATAAAAGATATACATTATTCTTGAATCCCAAGAATAATGGGATTTTTTTCTGCTCTTTGGTCGGATTATTGTCTCTTTGACACATTCCTCGTTTCCGTTCTCAAATTTACAATATAACAACATAATAACTAAACCAACTTTGGAAAAGGTCAACTGTCGGTTGGAAGAAATCCAGGCGACCATTTTTCAATACCATTATATGATGACTCGAATACAAAGTCAAATAGTAGATTCAGTCATGTATATATATTTGAACATCTTACATTGAGGATATTTGTATGTTTAAAGTTTTAAGAAGTTTGCAAGTTAATAAATAACAAAAGGTTACGTGTACGATTTTCTTACAATGTTTTATATTTGAAATTGTTTCATGATCATGATTAGTATGTAGAAGAATTCCTTTTTTTTCAAATTATTTTGCATTGTTGATACTCCAAGGATGCATTGTTAAGATTAATTTATGGTTGAACAGAAGCGATTTAACATTTGTATTAAAAGTTAAATGTGTATGGAATCGTTATGTATACGTATATAAACAAACCGCAAATTCCCTTTCTATTGGTCCCTTTGTTCCGCGTCCTTTGTCAACATAGTCATAGAAATCATTTATTGAGATAGCAGTTCCGGAAATTTTTATGTCCCCAGCAAAACTATAATATTCTCCCTTCTCTTCTTCCTGGTTCTGGTTGTCATATATTGCGCCATTTGTTGTGATTTGAAGGGAAAGTCTTGAACTGTCTATATCTCCTGCAAACAACGTCAATATATTGCATGTCGATGAAAAAAAGTTCAGTATCATTAAGTTGTACATGTGTATTTATTATTGTTTTTTTTAAACAACACACAACACTGGGACAACCCATTATTCCACAAAAATCATTCCGATAAGAAAAGCTTCCTCGAAGAGTACACTTATCCCTTTACACCTGTAGTGTTCATCATGATGATCAAATGTAAAAACCACATGTGAGAGGGATTCCGTTATTATTTTACGCATGCTTGTCATTTTAATCTATTTTTAGTGTCTTCTTCTTAATTTTCTCGTGTACGACATAAAATTTGATGGACCCGAATATCCGGAACTTTCGATTTATATTATCCAGCATTCGGGTCTGAAAAATTTTACGGAATTTGATATTTTATACACTCCGGAAGTGAAGGGTCTTGGGAAATCAGGAAAACCATTTTAATCACGAAGTAGATCATTCCACACTTCAAATGGAATAGTAATTTATTTTATCATTACTTTTGGGTATTTCTGAAAAAAATTTGTACTAACAAACACACAGAAGGTAAGACTTCTTTATATGTTCAAAATTTCTAGGCGCTAATATAGATTTCATGGCAAAATTTGGTCCCAAAGTTCCGCCAAAAATTCTCTCTCAAAGTCCAGACAAAAAAATTGATTCAGCGTTATGACGTCACAAGAACCCGTCACAGAAAAAAAAATTAAATAGCCTTTCAAGACGTCATAACTATTTGGACTATATCTCAATGTGAAGACATAAAGTATTTATTTAAGTTCTACAAACAGCCTCGAGCGTTTCAATCGTATTACCTAGAAACTTTTCACGAAGAACGAACTTTGTAACAACTAAATCCACAATATTCGATATAAGTATAGCAGTTCTATTTCATTCATATCATTGCCATAACAACAAAAGTATGTTAATGGATTTATAAAGATTAAGGATGACAATTTTTTATGAAATCAATACTTAAATATTCATCTTCTAGCCTTGGAGAATGGTGAAACACAACATAAGAAACAAACTGTAAAATCGGATGGAAAGGGTTTGACTTATCAGGTAGATACTTACCACAAAATCACTAAATATCATTTAGTGAGTAAACTATGATATCCAACGACCCAAAATAAAAAAGGAAAAGTTGTTAGCGATATGATGGCATGGTTTGTTCCCATTTTATTAAGATGTGATTCATTTTTGTTATGATTTGAGAAAGTAATATTGTCTTACACACTCTTTTTTTCAGTAATCATGACCTTGACTTTTAAGTTATAGCAAGTGACTTTTTCATATTCAATCACATATCGAATGAAGGTCGCAGTCACATATCTTGTATTTGATATTGCATCCTGAAACCACTGTTCTACTAGAAGTAATTTCGTCCTTGACCTATGAGACATTGACACCAAAATAAAATAGGTGTCTTCTAATTATATTTGACAATATATATAAGTAATGGTGCAATTTTATACATAGTATTTGATTAAACACTCGTCCATCACTTTACTGCAAAACTTTCAGTCATTTGCATTAAATATGACCTACAATCCGATATAAGACCCATCAAATCTCGAATAAATTTGTACACTGAACAAGGCTTAACTTAGAGCCTTTATCGCTCATCTGTCAAAAATATAGCTTGCATTGATTTTTTTTTGCTGTTTACAGTTTCTACTTATGTATATTATACTTCTCGAAATAATAGGCAAAACCTCGAAAATTAATCAAATAGCGTTATTTGAAGGCATAATTTTTATTAGCAGTCATCCAACATTTTTTATCACGATAACATATTTGTGGATCTTGTATTGTTGATCTTTTTTGCTGTTTACTGTTTCTACCTTTTTATCAAGGTAAACGAGATAATAGCCAAATCCAACAAAATTGTCAAAATATCGTCATTTAAGCTCAATAAATCGAGTGTTTTCGGTCATTTGACATTTTTGTAGATTTCGTTTTGCTGATATTTTTTATCTATAATTTCTACATAAATATAACTGTTTTCTAAATTATAGGCCAAAAACTCGAAAATGCGTCAAAATTCGTCATTTAAGGACAATAACTGAGAGGTAGGTAGATCTTCGCATTCTGAACATTTTTGCTCCGGTCACATTTTACAATTAGTACATTTACCCCTTATGTTGTAGTGTAACCATGCAGTTAATTACTATAAACAAAAAACTAAAAAGTATAACCAAAGTACCAAACTCTGAGGCAAACTCAAAAAAGGGAAGTCCATAAAAACTGACAAAATCAAACGCAAGCTAAGAACTAAACAAGTAATGTTTTATTCAGCTTAATCTTGTTTCAGTTTGAATTCGTGTTTTTTTTATTTAGTACATTTTCTTTGAACAGCATATTACATCCAAGTAAAAACACAAATATGCATTTCCAAAAAATACAAACAATTTTAGTCTGAGAAAATATGGTTATTTATCAGCAAAGTAATTCTATTAAGTTTTACTTTATAACCATGGGATTAGAGTTGTGTAAATATGGGATATTCATCTATGAAATTTAAGTCTTTATTCGTTTTATATCCTGTAAGGTATGATACACACAAACATGGTGTACTTTTCTCCAGTCTGAACTATAAAATACCTTTTCAGAGTTTTAAAACGTACCTTTATGAAAAAAAGAATAGGAAGTAATTATCTGTGTACCTTTTTTACTAACTTGAGCATAAACGTCAGTACTTTTTGGATCTTTAAGAGGTTTACTTCTTGTTTTATCATCCGGAGATCTTCGCCTAAAAGACAAGAAACAAAAAAGACACTTAGAACTTCAGCTTAATTAGTTAGTTTCACTACAAAATATAATTTCAACTGGTACAACTAAGGTTCTTTTTGTATTAACGAGATAACACAATGATTTACGTTATAGAGAAAGTCCAAATACTGTCCCTTCCGGGAAAATAATGGATACCAAACAAAAATATCAATTAAGTCTGAAATCGTACAGGATAGAGGGAGTCAATTAACCATCACCAAAAAAGCGTATAAAGATATTACTTATTGAATATTTTTTTGTTGTTGACCGGTATTTATAATTTATAACATTATCATTTTTCCCTGTTTTTGAGATATACAGGGAGAATTCAAGTTAAAAAAAATTGTCAATCTTAAATATGTATTTGTCTGTCTAAGTCAGGAATTTCATCAGTATACATCGGTCTGTGAGACTGTATATATTATGTCTATTTCAAGTAATATGTTAATGTCAATTTTCAGCTTTTACAATAGAATTTATACCAAACCCCGAAACATTCTGCATTTGCCTATCCCAAGTAAGCAGCATGTAATTCATTGGTTACCGTTTGTTGTTGTTTATCATATATCATTTTTTTTCGTTCCTTGTTCGGTTCATAAATCAGGCCGTCAATTTTCTCGTTTGAATTGTTATATATTTTGTTATGTCGGGGCCTACTATATCATGCGAGGCGGTATGGATTTTGTTTATTGTTGAAGGCCGTACGTTGACCTATATTTGCTAACATCGATGTGAGTTGGTCTCTGGTTGATAGTTGTCTCATTGGCAATCATACTACATCTCCTAATGTATTTTTGTCTACACTTTGGCAGATTTCCATAAGATCTGATTGCTTTCAATCGTTGAAGAGCGTATGATGACCTGCAAATGTTCTTTTGGTGTGGTTGTTTGATAGATGTTTTACATTGACGTGTATCTGATTCATCATTTCATTCATAAAACAACTGCCAGACAATATGTAAACACATAAAAAAATGTATATAAACAATGTTTTGAGACAGTTCCTGTTAAATTTATGGCCTCGTCGTGCCACTCATCGGTATATTATCTAGTCATACATAACGAAATATTGATTGACAGTCAACCAAGCTAAGTTATGGATCGTATATTTTTTAAAAAGAGAGACGAAAGATACCAAAGGAATATTCAGACTCAAAATCAAACTGACAATTCCATGACAAAAATAAACTGAAAAACGATCAAAAGACAAATAACAGTATACAAAACACAACATAGAACAATAATGACTGGGGTGGTCATGTGCTCTGGAAGTGTAAGCAGATCCAACTCCACATGTGGCACCCGTCGAGTAGCTATTTTAAGTACAATCCCGGTAATAAGTCTAATTCACATTCGGGGAAAGGGTGGGTTGGGATTTACGACGATTTGAACATATCCGTCGTCATATATGAAACGGATATTCCGTAACGGTCAACCAACTCGTGTTGGCGTCCGTAAAATTTTCGAAGGGATGATTTAAACTTCACCACATGTGGCACCCGTCGTGTTGCTTATGTTATTACAAATCCGCTAAATAGTCTAATTCGGTAAGTCACATTCGTGAAAAGAGAAGGGTATTGTAGTTACGACATAAGGAACATATCCGATATCATCTGTGAAACGGTAATTTCATAACGGTCAACCAACTCGTGATGGCGTCCGTAAAATTTACGAAGGGATGATTTCAACTTCATCATTTGGAACTCTTGGTTTAATAGCGTCCTTGAGAGCTGCAATCCTCTATCAAGGAAATCATGATAGGAAATGCAAGACCTGGAATATCGTATCAACTGGGAGATATATACGCCTTATGCAGGTGCTGCTGGAATGTTGCTACAAAGAAATACACTAAAAATGGCAATATCATAATTAACAATTTTATTATTGTCAGCTTATTTATCCATTATATTTTACAGCAATTAAAGACAGAAGACATAAAACTCACATTTTATAGTAGGATCTCTTGTTTCTTACCTTCTAATAAATACTCTCACACAAATAACTACCACAATCAAAGCAAATGTTGCTCCCAATCCTACAGCTACTGCAGTTAATAGGGATTTTTCTTGAGTTTTTAAATCCACTGAAAATAAGTTTTAGAGAACTTAAATCGAATCAACATTAAACTACTAAGGTGAATATAGAATATGTTTCTGAATACCCAGCATAGTATCTGTTAGTATAAAAGGTGACTTTTTTTTCCGAAACGTATTATAATTGAAAATGTAGGCATATGGTAGGTTTATGAAATGCACAAAAAGTTTTAACAGTAATTTTGTATTGAAAGTGAAAACAATCTTTGAAAATAAGCAGCTTAAAATGTATCATACTCTTGATTCATTATAAATTTTTTACCTTTACAAGAAGGAACTGGCGTTCTCCAAATACCAGCCGCACTACATTTCAACCAACTGGAACCGTTTACAATATATCCAGTCATACATTTTATCATTATACTATTTGGATAACGGTATTGGCGGTTTTCTATTTGTTGTACATTTTCAATCTTTGGTAAAACCGGACATAAAAGACCTGTACACTCAAAAACAAAAGAAAACATGTGTAGAGCTACTTTCTGATAAACTGTTTTAAACATTTCAAATGTCAATATGCAGTTTGATTTTTTTTTTGTCAAACAACTAAATGTTAAAACATTTTTTTCTCTGAAAAATTCGTCGACAACAACAAGTTCAAATTAAATTCGGTCTACTATCACCGTGGTAGGTTTCGAACATCGATTTGGTCATTGGTCAACATGACAAGGTTTATTTACTACCTTGTTTGATATAAAAAAGAATACCGATGAATAGGAATAAATGTGTTGCCTATCAAAAAGATAATCACATCGTTTATACAAGAAAGCCTTTCCCTTACAGTACATGCTACAACAGCTGATTTTATAATTTCAATACGCAGAGGGAAAAGTTTTAAAATCATTTAGTACAAACAATTCATGGTATTACTCATGTTCCGGTCATTAAAATCGAACAAATCTAGACAATCTTGAACATCACTAAGATTTAACAAATAATTTGATGCGAGAGTGATAGATGATTTGTAATACGCGTTCACAGATTTGGCTTTGATTGTGCCTGACGAAGGTCAATCCAGAAAAGATCTTTTGAAGCTTAACATTTTCATTTTATTTTTCAGTAACAAAAATAATGCATGAATAAACACTCATATAAACGTAAAAACAAACCTACCTGTACAAACTGGTGGGGTACTCCAATCTCCGGTTTGATTACAATGCAGTGGGTTGGAACCGTTAATCTGGTATCCTGCTTTGCAAGAGACATTCACAGACGCCGGAAACCGGTATCTTTTTGTTGCCTGTATAGACGTCACTATGCTGTCTATTTTGGGAAAGTCTCTACATAAAACTCCTGAAAAAACACATGTATCATGTAAAACAGTAACATATAAAACATAGATATTAAATATTTAGAGACATAATGTATATCTATAATCATATATTACATTTTTACTTTTTTGCAGTTGTGCATGTTAATTTGGAGCAACCAGAGAAATATTGAGGGATCGCGTGAACTTATTTCATTTTATACTTTTATTGCGTATTAGACATGATGCAGTTGTGATGGATTGTTGAGTATCATTAACGTCAGTTGTCTTGCTTTATCAAGCTGAAGAAAAAAATCAAATCATCACGATGTGTTCATGTGACATTTCTTGGGAAATCTCTTATTTATTATTTTGTGGTTTCTTCTTTTTTTGTAAAATTAATAAAGCAATACGTTCAACAAGGCAAATTATGAGGTGTTTATTTGATAAGGATATTAGTTGTGCGAGTTACGAATAGTACAGCTTGCTATAATATAATGTGCTTACTTGTGGTAAATCGTAATAGAATCAGTTTTTCACTAGCAAATTATGTAAAATTGGATATTGGAAGGGTTTTTCAATTGATCACTTTTATACCTGCACAATTTAGAAGAATAATGGTAGGCACAATAGGTAATGATAAAAGATACAGTGTAATAAGTTTAATAACGTCTATCAATAATAATGCAAATCGAAAAGGGCAACATCAACACGAGGAAAGAGTGTATGATTGTGACTTGTCTTTTAGTGTATAGTCCTTTAATTTTTTTCCCCCATCAAATGTGTTATAAACTTTATTCATGTCGTTTACCGATGTATCCCCCCGATTCTACTGTTGACAACAGATCAAATTTACAACTGTGTTGTTTATTTAAAAATGACAGGGTCATAGATCAAACTTATACGTTCAGTGTATGTTTACTTGTTTTTATTTAAATGTCTTTTTGATCGAGTAAAGTCAATTGATATTTTATAGTGTGTCTTTTTATGTTGTAATGTTACACTACTGTCTCAGGTTAGGGTTAGGGTGAAGTATGGCAGCTGTTAAAACGTTTAAACCAGCTGCATTTTTATGCACCTGTCATAAGTCAGGAGCCTGTTGTTCAGTGGTTGTCGTTTATTGGTGTGGTTCATAAGTGTTTCTTGTTTCTCGTTTTTTATATAGATTAGACTGTTGGTTTTCGTGTTTTACACTAGTCATTTATAGGCCCTTCATAGCTTGTTGTTCGGTGTGAGCCAAGGCTCTGTGTTGAAGGCCATACTTTGACCTATAACTTTTTATACATTGTGACTAGGATGGAGAGTTGTCTCATTGGTACTCACGACACATCTTCTTATTTATATGAATGAAATAATTAACACAATTATCAAATCATCGAAAATACTCTCATTCATAATATATCGATAACCTCCATAAAGATTGTGTTATCGATAAGAAAAGTACGGCATAACCAAACTGTTTCATATGGCAGAGATCATTACTTTTATTGCCAATATTACCTTTGCATTGTGGTATAAATCCCCAAAATCCACTTGAATTACACTGGAGTAGATCAGAACCATCAAACACATAACCTGTTTCACAAGTGACTTTCAATGTTTCAGGATATCTATATCCTTGTATCTTGGATGGTAGTAAGGCATTGTCAACCTTAGGCAAAGGAGGGCATAGAACACCTAATGAAAAATGAAATATTTGTTTTTTTGACAACATGAAAACAAATCTGAAGTACATTAACGTTTACATCAATTGTATTTTGGGTGCTGCCTCGTTGATATATTACACAAATCTCTGTGTACTCAATAAACACGATAGTCAATGCAGTCAATTGCTCTTGATACTATTAATGCTATTCTTTTGTAATAAGACTGAATGTAGGTGTCTTAAATTTCCTAATAAATAGATATTGTAATTGTCGATATCTTTTAATCATTAGCATCAATTTATACAAAATGAACCGTGTATTTAAACATTGTTATCATATGTTCAAAGAACACAATAATGGTTCAGCAAACCTGTTTTTCGAGTTAGAACAGATGAAGATGATAAGGCTTATAATGCAGTATTTCATTTATACTGAACTATAGATAAGACTGCTTCAAATAGAATTGGCATTTCAAATTGCCGAAGATTTTCAGAAAACCTGCAATAGAGATCATTTCCTACACATGTTCTTTCATGTGGAATCTGGTTTATTTAATAAAAAGATGAATGTCAATTAAAAGCATATAGTATGCGTAGAGTGAAAATGTTATATTGCAACATTCTTTTCATTATTTTGCTTTTTCTCGCAAACAGACATAAAAAAACAACTGGAAATGTATTGGAGTCTATCTAATTTACATTGTTTTGGAGTTTTTTTTATAATTTTAACTTTTTTTCTTTCCTTATAGCCGAGATTGTATCGTTGTCAAATTTTTCATACGAAATACAAATGTATTATTAGGTTAATATTTTGTACCCATACTTTAAACTCCCCACTACTGCAACAGTTTAAAATCGTATCTATAAGATAAATGGTACTGAGATGAATTTTCATACTTGTCTGTCCCGTCTTTCTCACGTAGAAACCTTTGTGTTGCACGTACACGATCACAGTTTCGATCTTAGATGAAGTAGGCTTTGTATATGAATAAAAGATGCAAAGTATCAGACAGTAGTACGAAGACATAAAAACCCAAACGACATTAAAAGACTCACGTTCTTTTACAACAGACAAGTGCAATATATACCATTTCTTTGTATTAAAAAGAAATTCTAGATAAATATAAAAATTATTCCTGAAAATAATTTTAATCGGGAAACAGTTTATTAAATGATATTCATTTAAATTGCATCCAGTGTACTTTTTATTTGTTTATTTATTGCATCATATATACCTGTACAATTTGGTTGTTTTTTACTCCATGTTCCATCACTTTGACAGGTTATGGTATCGGCTGATGACAACTCATATCCATTATCACATTTAAACGTCACATTGTCTTTGTATGAGTATATTGTTTGAACTGGGTCCAACTTTTGTTTGGGCAATGTTCTCAATTCAAAACAGGTTACGACTGTCAGTTGAAACATATTAAACATGTATGAATATAAACAACAAATTTGTTTTTTTCTGTAACAATGAAAGAATGCATATACCAATGGTTCAGATTTTAAATGTTAGTGTTATTCCGAATGTTTTAACACAATGATAAACTAAACAGAATAAGCAATTATGATGTGTATTATATAAACTCATGTTATCTGTTATGAAACAGATCATTCTCACATATTGCTACGTATTACTGGAGTAAATCTTCCTGACTTCTATTAAAAAGCTAACCGTTATAATTCTATTCATGCTTATCCTTCTTCTATTAAACAATATGTTATTCATTCCTCTAACCGACATGTTGACTTCGTCTTCATTGCACTCTAACTTCTATTTTTCCTTCGTATTCCAAATTTATTCCTGAACTGTTTATGACTAAACTTCATACAGAAACAACAAAACACCACTTGATAGATATGTTTTACAATACCTAATGATATATGACGATATACTTTACAAACAAAACATATTTTTTTCTCAAATATAAACTTATCCACATCAACTCACTATAACTTAATTCAAATCTTGATACTACTTCGTGGCAAATAATGAAAAACATGGCGACTTTTTCATTTTAGTAATCGTTAATTTTTATTTTCGTTGATGTTGATGTTGATGTTCTATTGCCTCCTTCGTCATGAGTGCACATTTAAATGTTTTACGTGTTTTCAGATTTTATTGAACGTAATATTTTCATTACAACACATCTTCTATAGAAGGATACAAATATCATAAAATTGAGTAAAATTTTATGATATTTGTATCCTTCTATAGAAGATGTGTTGTAATTAAAATATTACGTTCAATGAAATCTGAAAACAAGCAAAACATTTAAATGTGCACTCATGACGAAGGAGGCAATACTATACTCAATTTTATGACAAATGTATATATATATAGGTTTAATCTAGAATTATTTTTAATAATGAATAGGGTATTTATAATTTTGTTCATGAAGCTTTCTAAATTTTGACATTACGAACTGCTTTGCACATGTCAGATACCAACGTAAATGAAATTGTCATAATGAATTAAGATTACCGTGAAAATATTAGATGGATAGAATTATAAATGTAATAAAAACAAAATACGCTTTAAAAATGAGATTATACAAAGGATGTAATCAAAAACAATAAGTGGAAAATGATAAAAAAAACACCATTGCCAAATCACGTACAGTAAAAATACCGTTCACAAAATTCTACATAGAAAACTAAACATTGAGTGAAACGAACCCAATAAAAAAACCGGAGTGCACTTATAATTCGGAAATAATCCATTTCATACATTTTGCAATACGTTTCATTTCTGAAGTTAGTTCTTTTCTTGTGGTTGATACACAATTTTTAAATACAAATTTGATTTAAGATACCATTTCTTTTGTAATTGATAAAGTAGTTTTTACGAACCTTGACAGTTAGGTAATGTGCCGTTCCAATGCCCTGATTTTTGACATGTCAGAGACTTTGATCCTATCAATCTGTATCCAGTTTCACATGTCAGCTTCACTATCTCTCCATATCGATATATAGTCTTACCATCTAGTGGTTTTAATTTGGGAATAACAGAAAGGTCGGGACATTTTGCACCTAAAGCGATTAAGAACAAACTATCTGGGTTTACACAAAACATGTCTCACTTAATATCAATAGTATCATATTTGGACATTGGTTTAAAAGATCAACAACTACTCTGAGCTTATAATTATCTCCGTAATATGCTCAGATATGAGATATACAAATAGTTAAAAAAAACATACCACACCAAGTTGATTTATTGGTCCTGTTTTCATACGGGCGATGAGTTATGGATTTCCGTAGTCACATATTTTTTTTATTTAATGAAAAAAATTATTTTTTATTGCATTTTCGTGTTCCTTCAAGATTGATAAACTACAAATATAGACCTAATCTCAAACATTTGTCGTTTTTTTTTCTGTAATTTTACCGTTATTGAAACCCATGGATTTCATGCATGTGTGACATGTGTATCGCGCATGAATATGTCACAGTGAAATTGACTCAGAGTTTATACAAGTTAAGAAAACTGATTCGGTATCATACTCTATCGAAGTGTAGACCAAAGGAAAAATTATAACGGATAAATCACCTTCAAGTATTGCAGATATGCAAATTATACTAGAATTATTTCTTATTAGTTTCGACTCAGAATATTTTATTATCGAATCGACTACTACAAGTTTGATATTGAAATCTTAAAAAACTTCATATTTTTCATCTCGATATCAGCTTTAATATAATGCACCCATTTATCTTTTACCTTTAACACTAATTAAGTAGTTTGTATAACGTTGAAATTCGTTATTTTATAAGACATATCAAACAAATGCTGCAAAAACTAGGTTCATCAATTTCCCCTTCTAATTATTTTTTTGGCAATGAATACTATAATGCATTGTATTTTTTTTTTTAAATTGTCGCAAATGCAATGCCGAATTACTGTCATATTTTAAATAAGGGTATTATAAACGGTGCAATCCTGGTTTGCAAACTTTTAATTGCAGCTTTATAAAAACATTTTTCCCTTTTTTTTTAACAATTATGTTGATTTCTAGATTAATTTTCTTGCCTGTATATTACCAATAAAATTTTATAAATAATACTTACTTCTACTATCAAATTGAGGGAAATGTGCAAAAATATGTATAACAAAAATTAGAAAAGATGTGAAATTTTGTGGAAATTTCTTATAAATTTTCAAGGAAAATGCATTGAATTTCATAAATATTTGAACAAACTATACAGAATTGTTTATAGTTTTGTCAAATATTTTTGAATTTTTTATAAAATTCTGAAAAAAATTAGAAGAAGTAAAATAAGGAAAATAAAATGAGTCCCATTAATAATTTCTTATATTTTTTTCACATCATCTATCTATTTTTTTTTTTCTGTAATTAACCTTTGTGAAATTTTAATATAGAATAAAACAATGAATTCTAACAAATAAATGCAACTATACAGTGACCGAGTTTTATAATTGACATTATGAGAACAATATTCTCCATCCAAGCTACTTTTTTTTTCTTGCTTCGATCTGGAAGACATTTGTGAAGTTGCCAACAATACAATTCCAACAATTGTTACCAACTATGTGACAGAGTTTGAGTTGAATGATACTGCTTTTCATGGAACCACTACTTGACCGAAGGACCCAGCACCATCAACCATCTTGAAGGATTGCACAAGCATATAAAAAAGAGAGATCAAAATGCCCACCCTAACATCTACGAGATAATCGAACTACTCATGAAGACACAAGCAGTAACATAAAGTACATTTGTCCAGTATCCAACATGAAGAGCTCGTTTTTTGTAATATAGCTCTTCAACTGTTTAGGTTCTTATACATCCTTGGCTTTCAAATATTCGGCTTTATGCGTTCCTGATGAAGCTTAATTCAAAAAAGCGCTTCGGACACATGAAAATTAATACGTATTGTTTTCATTTTTTACAGCACTGGGTCGATACCTCTGCCGGTGAACTATCAGTCCCCGAGGATATCATCAGCTCAGTAGTCAGTACTTCGGTACTGACATAATTTATAACTATAAAAAGAAGATTTGGTATGATTGCCAATGATACAACTCTCCACAATAGACCAAATGACACTGAAATTAACAACTATAGGTCACCGTACGGCCTTCAACAATGAGCAAAGCCCATACCGCATAGTCAGCTATAAAAGGCCCCGAAATGACAAATGTAAAACAATTCAAACTAACGACCTAATTTATGTACAAAATAATGAACGAAGAACAAATATGAAACACAGCGACAACCACTAAATTACAGTTTCGTGACTTGGGACAGGCACATACAGAATGTGGCGGGGTTAAACTAGTTTCAAGGCGCCAACACTCCCCCTAACCTGGGACAGTGGTGTAACAGTACAACATTAGAACAAACTATAAAAATCAGTTGAAAAAGGCTTTACTCATCAGATGGATACAAATAGAAATACATCCAACAAAAACGCAAAGTGGACGTGGACGGGTACTTGTACATCCCAACAACAAAAAGACACTTAACACAGATTTGAAAGTACTCGCAGTTACAAACCTTTCTAAAATTGTCCGTTGAAAAAAATTGAAATTATTAGAAACTAAGGTTTCAATTCCCTCAGGCAAAGTTGACCTTAGATGGATTTGGCTTTTTTTTTATGTCTTTTTTGGTTATATAGCTCTTCAACTGTTTATGTTCTTATACATCATAGGCTTTCAAATATTTAGCTTTGAGTGTTTCTGATGAAGGTAAATCCAGAAAAAGCGCTTCGGACGCATGAAACTTAATACGTGTTGTTGTCATGTTTTACCAAAAAGACGCTGATACAGAGTGATAGACCCCAGTGTTTAGCTACTGAAAGACAGATACCAACAACGACCAATAAACGCGATATTAGAAGAGTCTGACGCAGCATCTTATCTAACTCTTATAAAACGGAGGATTATGTGAATAAATTGTGTTTTGTGACTTAGTAAATATATTGTTTATGAAAGTGAGGCGAAAGATACCAAAGAGACATTCAAACTCGTAAGCCGACAACAAACTGACAACGCGATGGCAAAAAACGAAAAACGAACAAACAGTCATTGAAAACTAAAGACTGAACAACACGAACCCAAACAAACACCGGGTTGACTTTTTTAATATATTATTTTGTGATTTTTTAAATATAATGTTGTATTTTGGAATATCAACATTAAACATATAGTTCTTCAAACATTGTATTGCTTGTTTTTACATAGTTCTTTATTTATTTTCTGTTATGTTTGAATAAAAAAAAACTTTATCATGCGTTGTTGTATTTGTATTATAATCACTGAGAAAGTTTTATTGTATATGTATTATAATACACTTTTACAAATCAATGATATTTTTTTATTAAATGTATGTTGAGTTAATCCATTGAATTAACATTACATAATGGAAAAATATTTGATTTATTTGCACCGAAAAATGGAACTACATAATGTACATAGAAATCACAGATACACTATACAAAAAAATTGCAACAAACTATACAATTGTATGGTCATAAAATCTACAGTCTTTTTGTTTTTTTTACTAATACATAATTGGTGTAATTGATATAACTAAACATTCAATATAGCTGCATTCAGATTTAAAACATTCTTAAACTGCTTCTACTACAAGTAAATGACAGTGTTTGATTCCATAAACTATAATTTCCTATCTATTTGTTTTTTATCATTACATTCAGTTTCATGAATATGTTCCGTACCATATGAGCATTTGGACCATATCAATATGCGTATATACTCGTATTGTCCGACCATACGCTTATGGTCCGGGCAATTAACATGATGAACGTTTAAAAGGTGTAATAAATTCTAAAAAAAAAATCTTAATTGACAATTTTGGTCATGACGACTTATTTTTTGGTTATACTTTGCTGCATATTTTCGTCATCAAAGTTTCTGTCTATCTATTATAGTTCCTAAAAAAAAGACTGACACATTCAATAGAAATAGGGCAATAACTCCTATACGGGATCAATCGACGAAATCGGTCCTTAGACTCATTGGTAGATCTTACTTTGCTGAATATTTTTGCTGTTTAAAATTTCAGTTTATTAAAAAAAGTTTCCAAGATAATAACCAAAAACTGATAAATTTCATAAAAATAATTATTGCATGGGCAATAACTCCAAAGTTGGGTTGTCCGCGTCGTTTAAAAATTTTCTAGCAAATAGATCTCGACCTGCTGATCATTTTTATCCCGTCGGTTTTGTTGTAATTGCTTTAGTGTGAAATATAAACCAAAATTTATTTTTTAACCACTATTTTCTATTTTTAGCCATGGCGGCCATGTTGGTTGTCAGACTGGATTCAAACATTAACTTTGTACTAGATATGATTTTTATCATAAGAAACATTCACCCCAAGTTTGGTTGAAATTGGTTCTGTAATCTCAGAGGAGAAGATCTGTGAAAAAGTTTACGACGACGACGAACGACGACGACGGACACCAAGTGATGACAGTAGCTCACCTGGACCAGCTGAGCTAAAAATGAAATTTTGACTTATCTAATCATATGGTAACCATTGTTACAGAATTAATTAAATAAAGTGAATTTTACCCACAAGTTAGAATTATAGTAAACATATTTTTACATGGTAGTTATAGATTTGTTCATACGAAACACAAAATGTCGACTTTGGAAATTATCTTCAACAAATATCTGAATGAACTATTACTGTTTTAGTAAATTAAAATTTCTAAAATATTTCAAATTGTATTTAGCTATTTAATGTGTTCTTGTTGCTATTGATACGATCTTACAAAACAGTAAGATCGTATAAATCGGAGCAGAAATACATAAATGAAATGAAAATAAGTAGAAATTAGACGATTTTTTTTCTAAACAAATAATTTAATCACTAAGGAAAAAAGAAAAAGAGGTCTATGCCCCAAATGCTTGTGGTTTTACTTACGGACGAAACATCTGACATGAAAAGGGCACTTTAAATTGACTCTGTCGAAGGCAAGATAACAATAACAATATGTCAAAGATAAAGGAATTCAAAAGGTAAATTTTCCCGTCTTGGGTTAGGAGAATGAGCTGTGTGTTTCTGCGATGGAAATAAGAATTAATTAAAAAAAAAATAGTCTTAACACGCATATTGTCCGGCCCGTTGATAACCAAACGAGTATCATTCTCATAGGGTCAAACAATACGCATAGGGTCCAAATAATCATGTGTTCGGAACACATATTCAAAACTTACTTTCACATACTGGTATATTACATCGGTCCCACCGTGGATCAGTAAGACCTGTATAACACCACGGACCTCCCGCGTTATCAGAATCTCCTTCTGGTGTCCTGCAATAGTTCTGGTCCTCTGATGTGTATTTAGTTGCACTTTTCCAATACATGCAATTATGACCTCTTCTAGTAATATCTATCTGTCCATGGTAACCACGGTCTTGTGTTGAGTTTCTACAATCTATATTACAATAATCAACAATTAACTAGTGATAATTGGCACACATACATAAAATTATTAGCAGTAGTAGTAGTAGTTATTTTATTTTATTTTATAACTTTATTTTACATATAAGCAGATTCCTCTGAAGCTGGAAATTAATATTATAAAATAATATTAATGGTTGTCATTTTTCCTTCCTAAATGTTTTTCAAACCGTTTTAATGTTACACTAGTAATAACTATAGTTCTTTACGCACATACTTAACCAAAAATGTTATCATATATTTTTTATAGCTATTTATTTCAGCTTTATTCATATCTTAATATTTATTCAGAAATGCTGTTTTATTTAGAAAAGAGGAGCTTAAACCTTCTATAAGTATGGCCTATATTCCATTTATTTCATGACATTATTGTGTACTACTTTACCACAGACTGGAATGATGCACTTTTCATATGCCCATTTATTTCCAGCTTTATAACAATATGGTCTGTCAACTGCTGACGGTAATGGATTTCGACAGAAGTTGTGTTCCTCTCTGTAGTTATGTGAAGGATGTTTTACCACTTCACTCCACTTTAAACAAGGTTTTCCAGATGGTATTTTACTAATATTTCCGATATAGTTTATTCCCTTGTTGTATCGGTTATAACAATCAACTTCTGAAATTGAAATAATGCACTGCAGTTTAAATGGATTTCAAATTATTTTGAATATCGAAGAAAGTGAAGTTAAAATGTCTGTATGGATAGTATGAAATTGTTAAAATTTAGAAAATCTTGCCTTAAAAAGGGTAATAAAAAAAAACAAGACGCGATTCACCACAATGCATTAAGTACACGTACATAACTATGAACAATTTTTAGGTTTGCTATGTAATTTTAAAAAAAAAGTATTAAGTTACAAATTATAAAAATCACTATTTTGACTCCTCTGATTCCAGTGATATGATTACTCTTCTGGTGCACTTAATATTGCTTCCGGTTTTAATACATTAAAAAAAAATATACATACGATCTAGTAAGTGTATTAATATAATAAAGTATATTTACAGCTGAAGAAAATTCTATGGCAAAATCGCAATACTGTATTTCTAAACATGTCACAGATATTTAACAATTAGTTATGATTCAAACTACCTTATTTTTTTGTTTCTGAAAAAAATGAAATATAATCTGTATTCAGGATAAAATTATCCAAAAAAGTGTGTATTTAGGTGCTGCTAAAATAGTGATGAAAATGGAAAGTTAAAAAAATGGAAAACTGAAATGAAGTTCATAAAACCTATCTGCTACATGAATATTGCCCTATAATTTTTATATCATATTTTAATATAAAAATAGAGATTTGTAGTACGGTTGCCAATGAATAACTATCCACCAAAGGATGTTGATACATTGAACAAAACTCATACCGTATATGCCGTTTATTAATCTTTAATATGCCAACTAGCTAGGAAGACAACATTGAACCCTTCAAAACCAATTTTCTGATTTATGCTAACACAAAAAACAACAAACAATTATGGCAGACAGAAATAAACGAAAATCCCTAGAACAGAAGCTACTGGCTTGAAACAGGACACATAAAGAATGTTGCGGGGTTGAACATGTGTGGTGTAACAATACGACATAAAAGGAAACACTATAAATCATCAAAGTATGAATACTAACAGATTTTAGACAAAAGTTAGACCATGAAAACCAAATTACCAAATAGTTAAATTATAAAAACCAGAATGAAATAATTTTGCCAAACAACCGGTCACTTATGGACCATTCAAAAAGAGCTTGTTGAGAAGGATCTTTAACGTGCTAAGAGCGTGGTACTCCCTGAACACGGGACCTCGGATTTAACGTATCATCCGACGGACATGCTCATTTTTACTATTTACATTTTCTACATATCTGTTACAGTTTTTGAGATAATTGTGAAAATAGGTAGACACAGATCTTGACATCTGCGCATTTTTGCCATGTCAGATTTCTTAAAAAAAAAAGTTTTTAATAAATAAGACAAATCATACACTCATATTCCATTTTTAGCCATGGTGGCCATGTTTGTTAACTGACTAAATACCATAAGAATCATTTACCCCAAGTTTGGTTGAAATTGATTGAGTAGTATCAGAGGTAAATATCTGGCAAAGTTTACGATGGACAAGTCAGGGCGACTATAGCATCAACTTAAGGTGTCTGTTTTGGAACACCAATTTAAACTAATTATTTTTTGAATATGTCAAATGTGAGATGCAATACTTGATTTAGAGTTATGGGTATGATGTTCGTGTTCTTTGACATAGATTTGTTAACTTCCAAATGTAATGTTGCCCTAATTGCAGTATATCATCCTTTCTTAGTTCATGAAACTCTTCCTGTCTAGGCAATTTTAAAAACGCTTCTACAGTAAAGAGGGGCCTCAGTAGCCGAGTGGTCTAAAATGTTCAACTAGTGTATAACTAGCCTGTAAAATTTGAGGTAGTGAGTTCAAACCCCACATGTGGCAGGTGCGTTCGACATCAATTTTTATCCACTAGGATTGCCTGTTTTCCTGCCGAAGGTAGTTGGTTCTTTCCGGCACTACAAATTGGTCGCCACGAAATAACCAATAGTGCTGAAAGTGGCGTTAAACACCAAAATTCAATCAATCAATCAATGTACAATGAAGACAATTCTGATGGCTGATTTTACTAAAATGTTAAGTAATTAATAAACTTCAAAAGTAAAAATAAATCAGTTTAACATGTTTAAGTTAACTTGATTTTCTCATGGACAAAAAAGTGGTAATTTTAGTTGATTATTTGATAAATTGAATAGTTATAATACTGCTCAAAATAAGTAATGATGTCCAAAGATAATAATCCAATGATGAATACGTCCTAATCCATAATGTAATAACACAGAATAATATTTAAAACTGGAATGGAATCCGTCTCTGATACTGATCAAAACAGAAAGTTCGGGAAGAATAAAAACGTTGGATAATCTTAAAACTTTTGCAGCTTTTTCGTCGTTCGTCATATTATTTTGACAACACTGCCTGACATTTGACATGTAAGTTATCAGTGGGGCGTGGCCAATAAGTTGTTATTCAATATGAATCAAACAATCAATAAAGCATATGTTTCTTGTTCTGCATAAACAGGTTTATAACGGGCGCGAGACATGTGGGCTAAATCATAAGCATGGCCATGGTATCAATTGGACTAAAATTTTTGGAGTCAAGTTTACATTTTGGCGAATTATTTGTGTTGATCTGTAAAGATAAATTACAGATAAAATGTATCTATATCAAAATTTGATATGAAATATATACGATATGTATTAAAAAAAATAATTAAAAAATACAACCTACATAAAAATTCCGTCATTGAGAAACCATGCTTGTTTGCAAAAAGAAATGACTTTTAGTTAAAGTTATTGACCAAGCAAATCGGTATATATATCTAATCTGAACGGCTTAGATGACCCTACTGGACCCGAACGATTAAAGGGTCACCCCGACCGTGCAGATTAAATGATATATACCAATTTGATTGGACAATAAATATGACACCATCAATGTACATGAACGTTTTTGAAATTTGCGGACGATATTCAATTCACGGCTCCTATGAAAGTTATCTTGTAGATAACGAAAGGGGGAAATACGCATCTGAGTAATAAAAGGTTGGTAACTTTTAAATTATTAACTTTTTAGATATTGAGGCTTCCTCCTAGATTATTTGGAAATTGCGATTCAATGGCAGATGTTTTATTGTTTCTGTTAAATATATTCACAATTTTTATATAAATTCATGAGGATTTAAAACTTGACATATTGTGTAGACACCTATCTAATGTGGAAAACTACATGTTGCTCTCTAGATGTCCTTGGATTGTTTTTGTCGTATGATTGCTGTCTTAATGACGTAAAACCAAGATAACATACATCTCCTACAGTTTTAGTACCGTTTGTTGTCGGTTTATGAAAAATCATACATGAAAGGGTTATTGAGTAAAGATTAGTTGCTTTTCTTCCCATCAAGAAAAATATGCTCAGAAGAAGATAAATCGAGGAGAGATGTACCTAAATTTATAGTACAAAGTAAACAGAAAAAAAGTTTCACTTTTCAAAGTCTAATCCATATCAGATTTCAATTATTTAGATATTCTAAAATACATTTCTTTTTTAGCAGAAATCACAAAAATAAATTATTATCTTGTTTCACTTGAAACACTGATTAAGATTTACTTTGTACACAAAATATCATAACATGTTCCCAGTTTAAGGAATGAGAAACACTTTCCATTTCATATTTTGGAACGACGAAGTTTGTACAAAGTTGTTAATTGATCAACTATGTCGTAACTACAAGATCAGTGGCGGATTCAGGGGGAAGGGCGAAGAGGACGCATACCCTTTGATTGGAAAAAATATGTCACTCGCCGGTATTTCTTCTATTTTGAGGAAGAACGCCCCCTTGTGAAAATTCTTGGACCCGCCCCTAAAGGTTAGAGTACTTTTGAACTGTGCAGAATATCTGAGGAAGTTAATACACACCTTAGCTGTACATTATCAAGATTATAGCACAGTAAAAACAAAGAGAAAGGCAAATTCAAAAATTCGGAAGTCTATAACAACTAACGAAGTCACACGCTACATGTATCCGTCAGCGTAACAAGTGAAAAATAATGTCTTGGTACACGCATTTTGCGATTATAAGGGCACTAGCTGTTAAATTTATGTTCACCGATTTGACTCAAATTCTCATATTAGATTTCTAACAATGTAAAAAATTTATCCAAATTATAAAAAGTCTAAAATAAACAATATTCAGGACATGGGCTCGATAAACATAAATATAAATAGGTATATGGACCTTGTGCAAATGGATTTTTCTATGTCTGTTTGATTTCAATTTTAAGGTTAAAGAAATAAGTTAATTATCTGTATAAGAATGATTTTGTTGTGGATTGAATCAGTCAATCAAATGATTTACCTTTGTTTCACTTTCAATGTTGACATTCTTTTCTTTTAATAGCCTAACACGCATCAATCATGCATAATCCATCTCTAGCTAAGGGGTTAAATTGAAGTTCGCATGAATACGGATTCAATGAGGTCAAATTATTCACTTGCAAGTGAATAATTCATCATCGATGTTTCTTAGCTTATCATGACAAAAATGAACCATACTGGCTGCTAATAGCGAATTATTATTTCACTATTTCACTTTCATTAATGATTGAACAAAAAAAATCAGAATTTAATTTTTTTTTTATGTATCTCGAAGCTAGTGCCCCTTTAAGACATTATAGTTTAATATGACAAAAATTGGGATCTTGCGGTCAAAACTGTGTAAACATACATCACAGATATACAACACAACTGACTAAAAATTCTAACAAACATACAAATTAAGGTTCATCATAACCTTTTGGCTTATATGGCCGCATTTACACCACAAATTTTACTCTGAGTACAGACAAACCTGTGCACCTGGAAAAGTTTTAAGGCATTGCAGGAGCTAGATAATTAAATTTTAAATGCATTTTATGTTTCAGAAAATTATAAACTTTTCTGGATTTTTCTAATCTTTTTTTTTTTTTCATTCCTGCAGAAGGTGTCAAAATAAACTAAGTTGGGAAAGAGGTTTTGACGCTTCCCTCATATAATAAAT